CTCTGTGGTCTTCCTCTTTTCCTCCTGCCTGCCAGCTACATCTTCAACATCCTTTGTCCAGCATATCCACTATCCCTCCTCCGCACGTGTCTAAACCATCTCAGCATCACCTGTCTCACTTTGTTCCCACACCACTCAATCTGAGCCCTCCCTGATGTAGCACATTTAAAACCGAAGGCACACCAAAGTGCTTCACAACAAGGTTAAAACATAAGATATAAGATAAAAGGCTATATATAACAGAATACAAACAACCCCAAAAAGTACAGACAAAATAAGAAATAAAACATTAGAGCAGAGTTTAGAAGATAGAATTACTGGGTATTCATAAATATAAAGGTGGTGGGTATTTATACAGTGGAATATTGGTAGAAGATAAATAACATAAGGCTAAAATACAGGGCATGTGCACTAGCTAATTTCTATCCCTGTCCATCCTTGCTCTTTTTCGTGATAATCTTAGCAACTGCTACTCTGCCACTTCTCTGTCTCCAAACCATGCATGGCCTTATATCACAAATAACCCCGACACTCATGTGTTGTAAAAATATGTCCACCTTGGTTTCTCACCTCACAGAAAAACTCATTCCCCCGCAGCCCACAGAACCAGGAGATCCATGAAACCTCTTCTGAACTGCTCATCTCTGAAGACCTGAAAAACAAAACAGTAAATTATGAGTGGGGAAAAAGCCAACATTCAACAGCTTCATATTACAGTAGCTAGGTCTGGTTTAACGCGGCACAAAAAGAAGCTGTTCATCTGGTGTGAGCACCTGATTAGCATTGATGCTAACCCCTGGAAAATAATGGGCCATTTCTTGTTTTTTCGATAAGGCTATGAATGCAACACTAAGCGTTCACTCACTAAATAACAGATTTAACCGATACTTTCGCCCAACTGGATTGTTTGTTAGTCATTTATTAACCCTTTCTTGTGAAAAGCTCATAAAAGTATATCAGTAACAGTCGCTGCTCAAGATCTGTAAAGGCTAAGCCAGCTAGCAGGTATTACCTTCTCCCTGTCGTTAGGGTAACTTTTAAAGTTTGCTTTATCACATTTAGCGCAGATTTTCTGTCAAAAACACGTCTAATGAATAACAAAACAATGGGCTAAATCCGGCCTTACATGTATGCTGTAGTCCTGCGTGCCGGGTAACGCTAGCATGCTAAGCTAAAACCAGAAGAGCGTCAATATGGCGCCTGGTACGACTTCAGGCCCCGGAGCGGGGGTCTGCCGTGGCTCTTCTGCCTCTGCGCTCAAACGGCTCAAGGGACTGATATGCGTAACAATGCTAACTTACCCGGCTTTCAGCTTTAACAATCCCGAAGAAATCAACAGATCAACAATTTAGCAATCTCACGGGTGTAAATAAGATGGACACCACCTCCCAGTTCACCCCGTAGGTTACGCTCTTCCTCTTCCTCCGGTCTGCCGTCGGAAGGTTCAAGACTTATCGGTGCTGCCGCTCACTGTTCAGTCCCGGTACTGCATGTTCGTGAAAAAGCGGTTTGTTAGCCCTCTTTTCCATCCTGTCTCTCTTTTTACAATAATAATTTATAAAAGTATATAAAATATGGCCCGTTCAAAGTTTTTTTCTGATAACCATCTACTAATCATCATCAACTTCCATATTATTCTCATCCCTATCCCTAGAATTCTCCTTTGACATTATATCCATGAATTGCTGTTGTCTTGCTCCTCCTGCATATGTCCAAACCATCTCAGCCTTTCCTCTCTTTGTCTCCACACCCCACCAACATGATCGGTCTCTCTCATGTACGTACTCATTTCTGAACTTATTGTGACTCCCAATGAAGTAATGACTAAACATTAAAATGTTTGTCATGAAACTTGGACCTAGAAATTTTAAAGAAAGCACAATTAAAATTTACAAATAAATGTTTTCTTCTGGATAACCATTGTTTGTATTATGGCTTAAAAGTGAGATTGAATCATAGTAGATATAAAGAAAAAGGAAAAAAGCTTCAACTTCAGATGATTGTTCTTTCAAATCATTCATTAACCACCATCAAAAATAATCTCATGTCGAGATAAAAGTACAAGTAACCTGCACCTTGTACATTTATCTCAACAAGAGCCGTTCATGTACAGTTATTAAATTTAATTAAAGTGGAGCTACTGTCCTGACGTTCAGCTTATTTTATGCTGGGCCTTAGTGTAGCCTGTGAGTTCATCCTGATTGGTTGCCCCTCATAAGCAGAAATTTTAAACAGCATGAAGGTGTGACTTTTGTACTCTGAGCCAGAGCTGTGGAAAGCTGAGGCTCTCTCTGACATCATACAGAACCATGACTATACCATGAATAGAACCCCCCCCCCAAAAAAAATAAATAAATAAATAAAACAAAACAAAAAAAACAATTGGACACGTATTTAGAATAGTCTGACTGCGGAAACAAATCGGTCGCTTTTGCTCCGTCCACTAAAAGATAAACGAAAGTTCAGGACAAAATATTCTCATTTCACTAAAATCCTCCAGGAGGAGCAGAGACTCATGTGAACTGCGGCCGGATGAGCTAAAAATGGACCCAACGCCGCTTTTAGCGATGTGGAGGACGTGCTTCTGAGACGCTCCGTGGCACATCTTGTGTAATTGAAAGCAGCTCTGTGTACTCCTGTGGTGGAGCCTGAGGTTTTCTCTCAGGGATTGCTTTCACATACGCAGACCTCACGATCAGAAACTCAACATGAACATCTAACACTGTAACAACACATACATGTCACACACAAGCACCACCACCATCAATACAATCTTTCTTCTACCACACAAGCAGGCAGAGAACAATTTTATCATCAAAGAAACAGACGCACAACTTAAATGTTTCCATTAAATCAAAAGTAGTTTATTTAACTTTGCCTTCTCTGTATAACTTTATTATAATAAGACACTTCTCTGCTTGTACATTGCTCCCTTGAACTAAAAATGGCAACATTTGTTTGTGGGAATGTAAGTTGGGGTAGACAAAAACTTAGATACATACCAATATACATACATGTGTGTATATTACGGTTCCATTAATAAAACCATAAATGCTAAAAAAAAAAAAAAAAAAAAAAAAAGAAAACGGTCTGACCCACTCCAGGTACCTCAGTAATGCTGGAAACATAATACAATCTTGAGTAATTTTTTCTCTTTTATCTGGAATACACTTTTGTTTTTAACATGGGTACATACAATAATGCGCACATCAACATTAAGAGTTAAGGAGGGATGAAGGACTCTTTGAGCCAGTGTTAAAGAGTATAGCTATCAATGAAGAAACCAGTAACAGGCAAGGCAAGCTGCACCCACGTGTGTTCATGCTCAGAAGTCATAGTGGAAAAATAAAATATGTCCAACTTCGCTTGCCTGCTGATGAACGTATGCTTAAATTACACAAAAGAAAACCAACTGGTGACGTTTCCCACTGCAGATTCTTAATCTGGATGAACATATACACACACAGCTGAATGTATATATATATATGTGGATGTATTTAAGAAACAGTAGAATTGTCTTAATAATAATTGGTTAAATCACTCGCGGGCAAACAAGGCAGAAAAGTGCTCGCCATTCATGTTATAACCCGCCTCCCCCCCCCAAACCCCCCCCCCCCCCTCTCGTTATTACACAGACACCAGAAAAAAACAAAACCAAAAACAAAACAACCAAACACACGTACATACACGCTCACGTACACGCACACATACACAAATCATCAAATGCCCTACTCACAACATCCCAGAGACAACCTTCACACTGTTGTCAGTAAACAAACAAACCCCAACTTACAGCAGTGACAGAATTGATGAAGATGTGAAAACATGTTAGTTCACTTTTGCTGTTGTCTCCAGTCTTTCTGTGTCTCTTAAACTTGTGTTTGAGTGTGTAATCTTACATCGATCCCACATTTCCTCACTTCAGGTCAGCATTAATTGTTGCAAGTAAAATCTTGAAAACCGTGCAGCAAACTGCAGAAGGCGGCGCTCGGTCACCCCCTGGTTTGGCTTTAAGTCCTGAATTTTAATTTGAGCTCCCGCTTGCTGCCGTCCAAACGAAAACAGCCTTCCCGAGTAAACACGCCTGTGAAAAATACTTCATACCTCAGACAAGGAGTCCTTCTTGGTGCGAGGAGCCTCCGCTACGACAAGCAGAGGGGTGTACAACACTTGGCCTTAGCTGTGTACTCTGGGCCCAGACAGAGTACCCCGTCCTGCTTTATCATGTGTAACTTGCCCAAGTCATTAACACAAAAGAAGAGGAAAAGAACCAGCAACAGTGGATGTTTGTTATACTACAAGGAGTGCTTATTAGAACATACTCGATCATCTATCGAAGCATAAACAATTTCAGGAAAAGTCAAACATCTGCTTTATTCTAGCATGACCTACATTTTCATTTAATTCATTCCCCCCAACTTGAAAGGAGGGAAAAAACACATTTCCATTAAAATGGAAGTCACCCCGAGAAAATAATAGATATTAAAATAAAGCCATCACGCCATCGATACAGTCTTCAGGAGGGCAAACGGAACTCAAAGAAAGGGAGCTTCAAACTACTGTCTGTGGGGGGAAACTTTAGATTTTTGCAGTGTGCAGAAATTCTGCAGGTGAAGATGCTACGACGAGGCCAAAAACCTCCTCTTTAAAGAAAAAAGAAAATAACAATTATAATTATAATGAAATGTCAGAGCAGATCATTCAAAAAATAAAAACAAAATTCAAACCATCGACCTGAACAAGCAGCAGAAACATTGATATAAAGACCAATCACTGAGCAGTAGTACTTTAACAGGTCTCATCACAGTAATCGGACCAAAAAGTCAGTCAGAGGAGGAATTTGGACATTTTTAGTAAAAATTTAGTTTAATGACTTGCTTTGTTGAAGAGAGAAAACACGCGCGCGCGCACACACACACACACACACTCCTAAAATTCCTCACGAGGCTGAAAAATCAGAGCTGACACGAGGCCAAACAAAAGACAGAAACAAAACGTCGTATGGTACATTGTTCTTATTAAAAGATGTAGCTGCACCCCTTTCACTTGTGAAGGAAGTGATGCACAACTGCAATACAGAAAACCACACGAGGCCAGAGTGTGACAGAAATATACACAGACACATAAATATAAAAGTTTGGCCGATCCAAATATTCATGCCAATTTAATCCCACATTTTCCTTCTGCGCTCAAGTGACCTCACATGCTCTTTGTGGGGGTTTTAAAGATGTCACATTTGTGCTTGTATGTGTGACTGTGTGTGGAGCTCAGTGTGACTGTCTTCTGTCAAAATGAGGTGTAACCCCCCCGCCCACCAATTGAACAATCACATGCTTGTCAAATCCAACCGGGGTGAGGAAGAGTTAAAAAAAAAAAAAAAAAAAAAAAAAAAAAAAAAAAAAAAGAGGGTGGGGCACAAATGAACAGAGAGCAAGATGGAACAAACTGAGAAAATTACAAGAACGGACGGCAGATACGAGGATGATGCAAAGGTGAAAGAGGTGACTGGGTGGGGAAGGAGGGGTGAATACCATCTCCATTTACTGTACAAAGCACTAATGCCAACAGATAAGCTGTGAAATTACGATCAAAAGGGATTAAAGGCGTAACAGGGTGGGGGTTAATGTGGGTGGGGTTTAACTGAAATGTCGCATATTCCGTCACTTCCTATTTTTCGGTGAGGGCCAGTTGCCACGCTTCTCTCCCCGGTTGCCGCCTCCGCTGCCAGGTCCACCAGGGCCGCCGCCAGGTGGGCCACGGGGGCCTCTTCCCCCCCCTCCGCCACCTCCAGGTCCTCCGGCATTGACCCTCCGGTTCTGCCGCTCCATCCCAGGACGCTGACTCGAGAAGCTTCGTTTGTTAGCAGAGGGTTCTTTACCCGTCATCTCACGCTCCACGATGCTGCCGCCTCCTCCTCCTCCGCCTCTTCCCATGTGGTGGTGATGATGAGAAGCATACGACTTCCCTCCTCCTCCCCCTCCCCCCTCTCTGTCTCTGAACTCTGTGAAGTCGCTGCTCTCAGAAGCCGTCTCCCACTCCTCATTGGCTTGGTCTGAGTTCTGGTTGGTGAAGTCAGGCGACTTGGCACCGTGGGGGTGCTGTGGGTGCGTGGGACCCACACTGCCCTGGTTGTAGTGGTGATGGTGGTGGCTGTTCGCATTACTGAGATGCCCGCCACTGTTGTTACTGTTGGCCGTTAATGTGGCGTTGTGGGTAGCATTCTGGGCATTTCCTGTCATGGGAGCAGAGACTGGGGCTCCGTTACCATCTTGCACAGAATTCATGGAAGGAGATGAGGGCCTTTCTCCACCAATGACCCCCACACTGCCGTTGATACGAGCAGCATTCTCCCGCTCCTTCAGTTTCCGGAAACGGGGCGGTTTGTCCTGCTGGTGCTGGGATCGCCCATGACGACGGCGCCTAGGTGGTCGCTCAAAGCCACGATTAGAAGGAAGAGGAAGAGCATTTGGCCCTCCAGAGTTTGACACAGGTTTTGCAGAAGTTTGCTGGGTCGCAACTCCACCATTTTCAGTGGAAACCAGAGTAGCAGAGGTTGTTGTAGCAGGCAGAGACGGCTGAGGGGGGTTGGTCCCCTGACTTTGAGTTTGACTTCCATCAGCCACCTTGTCCTTCTTCTCACCAGCATTTCCTCCTCGGCCTAAGTCTTTATGCCCAGAGCTCTGTGGCGGACCTTGCTGTTTCCGGGCTGAAGCTGAAGACTTGGAGGACCCACCATGCGAGCCTGAGCTGGGCCCAACACGGTGTCCCCCAGCTGTTGCTCCCATATTGCCACTACTCCTGTAGATGTTTCCTCCTCCACCTCCGCCACCCCTGCCCCTTCTAGAGGGCACACCCCTAGGGGTGAAGACACGGGCCTGGGAGCCTCTGGGTGGAGCAGATGAAATGTTTACACTGCTAGTGGTGTTATCAGAGCCATTCTTGGTGTTCAGTTTCTGGCTGTCTTCTTTGTCCGAGTGGCCGACATCGCTTGCTCCACTCTCACTGCCCGTCTCAGAGCCTCTCTCCCTCCTCCTCTTGGGGATTTCTTCATACTCTGAGCCCTCACTGCGGGTTTCACTGCGGTTTCTGGCCCTGGCTGGGTTATGCTGGGACCGATCTTGACCATGCCTTCCACTGGCTCCTTCACCCTTGGATTCCTGATGATGGCCACCACCGGCTGTTGAGCGGTAGTCTCTTCCACTCCTGCCACCCATTCTGCCCCGGCTTCCACCTGTGGGTCCAGCACTGGCCGTGTAGGTGCCCCGGTACCCACGGCCTCGCCCATAGAATTCTCCCCCTCTTCCTCTGCTGGCTCTGCCGCCTTTCTGGGGGACTCCTTGGTGGTGAGAGATGTTGCCTCCCTTTTCAAAGGAACGGTCTCTGTCTCTCCTGGAGGAGGACCCTGAAAAACCTGATGAAGTAGTGTCTACATCTTTTTGACCTCTACCTGACCCTCCTCCAGCTGAGGATCGCTCTTTTCCACCATTTCTGGGTTTGGCTGTCTGGGGTGGCTCGTCCTTAGATGAAACTGATGTGTTCTGAGAGTTGGAGGAGGCATCCTGCTTCATAGAGACAGGCTGTCCACCATCTTGCTCTTTATCTTTTCCAAATCCTGTGCCTTGTTTTTCTCCTCCATCTGCATCCATTGCCTCTCTCTTGATTTCTTTCAGCACTGGCTTCTTAATGGGCCCAGCCCTCCTGTTGGCATTGCTCCCTCCTGATTGGTTGGAGGGTTTGTGGTCCAATGGAGTGTTGGAAGAGTCCTCTCCTCCACGGGAGTTGTTCCCACCTCCTGCATTGTTGCCCCTCCTTCCGTGAGAGGAACCCCCAGTAGTATTGCTGCCAGGCCGTGGACCCCAGTGTGTCTCTGTCTTATGCTCCCGCCCTCCTCTTTGGTTTGATTTAGGATGAGGATGCTGCTGCTGTGGGGGCTGACTGTGGCTGCCAAGTTGAGCCAGAGGTGGGCTAGAAGTGTTGGCTGAATGGGAAGTATATGCCGGACCTGTCTTCTCTTGTTTCACATGGCCACCACCTCCAGCGTTACCACTGCTGCCTCTTTCAGCGTGACTGTGCCCGACATTGGTTTCGCTCTCTCTCTGTGATGGGTGATGGTGCGGTGCCACTTTGACATTCCCATCCTCCCTGGCGGAGGAGGAAGAGGAGGAAGAGGAGCAGGAGGATGAGAGGGAAGGTTGGTGAAGAGGAGGAGAAGAGTCAGTCTTCTTAGCTGGGGCCTCACCACCTCTGTTCTCTGGCTTATGGGGATGGAGAGGGAAGTGAGGCTGTTGAGGGTGGTGGCTGTGAGGGTGGTGGAGGTGAGAGTTGCTTTCAACAGGAGGATGATCTGGGCGCCCGCTACGATCATAGTGAGGATGTGGGGCTCCCCATATCTGGCCCTGCTGAGCTCCTCGGGCAGGCCCTTCATCCTGGTGGGGGAACCCATGTGGCTGGCTTCCCCTTTCACCCGCCCTCTGATGCTGGTGAGGAGGTATCCTTGCGCCCTGATCGGGGAAGTTGCTGTAGTTGCCCTGTCCGCCGATGTAGTGATGAGGGTGATGGCTGCCTCCCTGGTTGCCAACAGGGGGTGGGGTTTGATTGGATGTCCCAGATGCAGAGCTGGGCTGCTGAATGGGTCCCAATCCACCCTCTCGCATGCGGTGTGGAGGAGTGTCGCTCCTATGATAAAGAAAGACAGAAAACAAAATAGCAACTTATTCACTCAATAAATGAAAACACAGATGATAAAGAAAAAAAAAACAATACAAACTTACATGGACACTTTTATAATTGCTCTATATAGCAACAATCTAACAGTAAAGAAGGAGGTTTTATCTTCGATCTCACTCAAACAAAACGAGTATCCATACCTGGGCCCTTTGGCCACATCATCATCCTCTGATGCCTGCTTCTGTCTCAGGGGAGAAGTTAGCCCACGGTTTTCCCCTCCTCCAGGGAACACCTCAGGCCCCCAGGCCAGCTTAGGATCCATAGGGGGAGTCCCACGGTGAGGATGCCCTGGATGCTGTTGCTGTCTGTCAAAGGGGTCTGAACCAGACCCCCCAGAATCAGACCGCTCACGCCCAATAAGCCCTGAGTAAAATTTTAAGAAAAATATCTAAGTCAACAGCCAACATTGTGACTTCACTATACTGCAATATTTCCTGATTTAATTTTATTACTTGTGTTTATGCATCCACTCACCAGAAGGATGCATGCCGGCCTGATAGTATTCCATGGGTGAAGGGCGACTCTGTATCATACGAGGGTCCATGTAGGGCATCATCATCCACCGAGGGTCAAAATTCAATGGTAAGGGTGGAGGTCGAACCATACCGCCAGGTTGATACAAGGGTCCGCCCTGTTTAGGTCCAGGTACAGGCTGGGGAGTTGAACCTGGTGAAGGACCTTGTGGAGCCTGGGTCTGTGGGGACAGCTGACTTTGTGATGCCTGGCTGTGCTGTTGCTGCTGTTGCCACTGCTGCTGTTGCTTTAGGAGTTGCTCCTACAGAGAAGTGAATGGAAAAATGCAATCACTCAGGTTGTTTAAAAGCACATCCCTTTGAGGAAAAAAAAGTAAAAAGAGAAAATCACAGTGGCCCTGCTCATTCAGAATGCAACAACAACTTTTAACTGAATTTCTCTCTTACGTTTGGAAAAAAAAAACAAAAACAAACCTGCTGCTGCCTCTGAAATCGAGGTGGAAGAGACTTCTGATACTTTGAGTAGCCCTGGCCAGGAGGGCCACCAGCTTGACGACCGGATCCCCCTCCGATATTTTCGACCTTTACTTGGTCGATTCCTCTTTCGCCTCCACTTCCTGTACGAATGTGAGGAGTGCTCACAGCTTCTTCCTTACTCTCTCCTAGTAAAGGTACATCCAGTGTGGGCTGCTGCGGCTGTGGTGCAGCCAACTGGGGACACTGTTGGGTATCTAAATCAAGAACAAAGTTGCAGGGTTAAATCTGTAGTCATCATGATTGTTATGTGGTGTATTTACTTAAAATGCTATATTAAATAAAGAATAGAAATGTTATTTACTCGAATGCTTCTTGATGATAGGTCTGTGTTTCAGGCCATTTGCATCTGAGAAACTCACCTGCACCAGAGTCGTAACTGCTGTTGCTGCTGGGTCGCTGGCGGTCATTACCAGCTGGACCTGTCCCCGACGGGACAGTTAGCACTGGAGGCTCCTCAGAGTCCACGCAGGGGGAAGGAGGCTGGCTGATATTAGGGGAGGAAGCTGAAACTGATGGACTTGGGCTGCCTGCCGTAGCAGCTGTTGAATTTCCATCAAGGCTAGGGGTTTTGCTGCCGCCACCACCACCAGCAGCACTTGTGTTGCTGCTCTGCTGCTGCTGCTTTTCATCCAGCCTCTTCAGCTTTTCCGCACAGGCTGCACGTCTCTCCTCCTCCATCCTGCGTTCTTCCTCTTCACGCCTGCGACGAGCTCGCTCAACAGCAGCAGAAATCTCAGAGGATGACTGCTTCCTGCGCTGACGCCACGTCTCGTCCTCATCATCCCCCTGGGCTGCATGAACCAGCAGACCAGGCTGTGTAAGAGGGTTAGGGGCTCCTGCTGCTGGTTGATGCTGGGCAGGGGCAGGTTTCCCCTGGCCAAGAGAGGCTCCCTGATTGTGGGGCCGATCCTGAGGAGTTAGAAAACACTGAATGTTTTATCATGACGTTTTTAACCTTCCAAGTGAAATTACTGTAATCTTTTAAAAAGTAGAAATGTATGTATGAATGATAATCTCCACTGTAACAAAAACCAAAGTGAAGGGGGGGGAAAAGGGAACTTAAAACTAAAAATGGCTTGGCTATAAGACCCGTAGGTGGCGGATGAGGCAATGACAGAAATGATTATTCTATGAGGCCCTGTCCTGATGTCTACCTGTCGGTAAAAGGAGTAGGGCCCTGGTCCGAGGAGCGGCCCAGGTGGGGGGGAGGGCTGCTCCTGGGGACCACCCAATCCAGGCCTGCGCCCCTGTATACAGGCAGACACAGTTAGCTAAGGTCCACCACAATGATCTACACTGATGCAAAATACAGACACTCACACATGCCTGCCCACTAAAAAAGTCTTGCCTTAACAGAATTAACTCTGTAACCTGTTTTCAATTTGAAAACTTCACAAGGCCTCAATGTAAGGTAAAACCATAGGGCCTTATCCACTGCAGGAACTCAGAGCACACATTTACAACCCCAAATCAGCCCGTTTAAGCCTGTTCCCATTGCGGTGTAGGATTCACCACAAATCTTCCTGTTCCAAAAAACCCCCCAAAAAATTGAGGGATTCAAGAGGACAATTTTACGTTGCTTCTCTTCCTCACCTACATAGTAGTTATAGGTAAGGTTTTTTTGGTCTGAAAACACCCCTTTAAGAGGTCCTAAAGGGATGGTTCCTAAAAGAGCCCACAGGTTCCTGCAGTGAAAAATGTCTTGTTGTTACTGCTGTTCAACACAGTACCTGATAGGCGGATGGCGCTCCCTGGCTCACCCAACCACTACCTCCCTCCTCGGCCCATCCTGGCTTGCTGGAGGGGGGTTGGGGGCCATTGTCAACATTAGAGGGAGGGGTCCTGCGGGTCTCTCCACCGCTGTCTGAGGCTCGAGAGTGAGAGGTTGCATTGGGGGCATCCTGAGACCTCTGCTGATCACTGAGGACAAAAAATGTAAGTGAATAATATCTAGAAAAACAACAACAACAACCCCCGCCCCCCCCAAGAGTACTGTAATTTATCACACATTAAATGTACTTGGTCACTCACCGCGGATCAATCTTGCTCTCATTTCTATCCTCTTCTCCCTCTTCCTCTCCTTCATCATCGCTGAACTTCAGCTTGGCGGAGTAATCTATCTCCTCATGAGCTCCTGTTTCAGCAAAACAACAAAAAACAAAATGGAAGCCATCAGAACCATGTTTGTGCCAAACATCCACAGTGTAACATTATTCAGCAACCATCACTAATCCTTCTCCCTCCCTCCAGCAACTTAAACCATGCTGGACGGATCAGCATGAAATTTGATATGCACCAACAACAGCAATCCTCGAAAGCAGAAAAAGGAAGGCTCGGCAGAACACGCTCTGCACAGCTGAACTAAATTAACTTGCATAAGCAAGACACACAAAAACAAGTCTTTACTTAAAACACAGAAGGTTATGACTCTTGTTCTAGGTCTGTAACAACATTAAAAGTAACCAATTATTATTGTTTTAAAGCCATTTGTTAAAATTTCAGTTTCTGCATGCTTTAGAGCCTTCTTCCAAACAGAAAACATTCTGTTTTTATTATAGATAGGAACAACTTCAAAAAGAAAATAACTTCATTTAACAAAAACACTGTTTTAGTGTATATTTGGAGGTGGCTTACAAACTTAGAACCAGTTTTATGATGTTTCACCTTTGTGAATGGAATTTAATTTTAATTTTTTTTTTTTTACCTGCCCAGCCTTCGTCTCCATCGTGGTCCAGCTCATCTAGCTCCTTCAAATCGTCTTGTTTTAAAATGGAGGGTCGCTTTACCACCTCTCCACCCACATCGCGTGGACCGCCCTGTGACCTGCTCTCAGGACCAACTGGCCCACGAGAGAACCTGAAATAATGGGGGAGGTTCTTTTTTAAGGGATATGATGGAAAAAAAAAAAAAAAAAAAAGCATGGCCCAAAAAAAGCAGCTCTTGATTACTTAGGAGTTAAACTATAGGCCATTTGACTGCACTGAAGAACATTTTCCCTCCACAGTGAAATTAAAAGTAGATGAAGTAGCATCTCAGTGAACATACCTTGGAGCTGTCCCTTCACCAGGTGGTGGGTACCTGTAGGGCCCTTGAGGCCCATAGGGGCCCGGGAAGGGCAGATAGGGAGGATACATCTAGGGAGTAATAACAGATCCAGTTCAGACACCCATTTCTTTTGTTTTTGTTTGTTTATTTATTTGGGCGAGAAGATAAAGATAAATGCTAATAAAAGAAAACTAACACTTACGAAGGGGGGTATGATCCCTCGATATTGGGGGAACCCAGGCCCCACAGGAGGCTGGGGCAAGGGCAGGGCGGGGCTGCCTGCAGGAGGGTTCCTAGGTGGCCCGTGGTTCTGTGAGTTTGGAGGGGGGACCCCTGCTGCCCCATCCATCACCAGAGCTCCACCAGTGCCACCCTCGGTTACCCCCTCCCCAGGCAGGGTGGGTGCCAGGGCTCGGCCCCCACCATCCCGCCAACTTGTAACGTCTGAGGACAGTGAAGACAGGAGAGGACGGAGTGGTTAGTATGATTTATGGACTTTTATGTAATCAGAACAAGAATGGAAAGTCATTTTTTATGATTATGAATGTGAAGAGCAATGAATATCAATACTGTCAATTAGTAAAGTTCAAAAATAAATAAATACAAATGAAAATCCTGCCCGAGGTGTTTCTCTCCAAACTACCATAGACAAATAAGTGGATGACAAATTATTAGAGACAAAGCTTGCATTACTCACTCTGGGGGCGGAGGCTTGGTCCGGGCCCATACCACTGATCTGCAGTGCCCTGTTCTTTGCCAGCTTTGTCCTGGTCGCCAGCCGCCTGCAGGGTGGGAAATTCCTCGCGAGAGAATGGCGACGGTAGGTTTGATCCCTTTCCACCTGCAAAAACAGATGATGAAAAGAGGGGCTGAGTTGCAAACAAACAAACCCATTGAAGGACATGCAGCAAAAGAAGGACTCACCATCCCCTTGTGTTCCATGTGTTCCACTGGCCTGTGCCCAGGACCTTGCCCCTACGGCCTGGGTTGAAGCTGGGGCCAGAGCCTGAACACGGTGCACACACAAAGTCAAATACCATATGATACATGCCAGCTAGCAGTGCTAGATGTCTTTCGGCAACCATTACTCAGGGTATATTCTGTTTTAATGTTATGGAGATAACGTGTACCTCTGAAGCTTGCGGGGTTCTCGGGCGGGTCGGTGCAGGTGTCTGTGAAGCCACAGGCTGCTGCGACTCCGGCTGCGGTGCTGACAATGCATCGGTACTGAGAGGGAAAAAGCAGACATACAAGTCTTCAGACCGAATGCAACAAGCAATCACACAAGAATAAAACTACTTGTTACATTAACACCCAATAACTTGAAGGTGTTTGATTACAGCTTTCTTACCTCTTTGGGTCTGCTGCTTCCTGTTTGCTTGCCCATCCTGTGCCGTCTTTGGGAACGAGCGAGACGTTAGGATCGTTGCCTTTGTTCTCTGCCTTCAGACTGGGCAGGTTGGCAGGGGGTGGCATACGCCGCGCAGAGGCAACTTTACCAAGAGATTGCAGGCCATGGCGTGGGGGAACTAATATGGAAACAAGATAGAATAGAATAGAATAGAAAAGAAATAATTCTTTAATTGTCCCACAAGGGGAAATTTGGTTGCAACAGCAGGAAGTCGCTAGCACAGATGGACCATTGAAACCCTACACTGGTGAAATCCAGAGGGAGCCTGAAAACAGGGATGGCGTTCTGATTATTTTCTGGATGTAAAATTAGGGTGCTGAATCACTGAGAAGGCTAAAAACGTGGTAGTTTTGGTCTGGTGATTCTAATGAATGTGGATTTTTTTTTTTTAAACAAACAAACAAAAAACTCTCTTGACGTTATTAAAAACATTCAGTAAACCCACTTCAATTACAATTTTATAGAGCAGCATTAGCACATTGATGCTTACAGAACCATGGAAAAGCCTAAAAGCGAAGCCGTTCTGAATATCAATCCCTCATTTGTTTTCCCAAGGCTCAGAGCAACCACAGCAGCTTCAGGCCTTCACTGTGTAAGAGGGGGCAAGTCTGTAGTCGGGGAAAGGGGACAGCTGCTTGAATCTAGAGGGCAGCCTCTGAATAAAACATAAACTGGGGTCTCAGCATAGAAGTCAAACAGCATCCACAAGTAAGCCTCTGTCTCTGGTCAGCCTCAGTGTCTCTGGAGCTCAGCTAATACATCGAGCCTCAAGAGCCATTCACCCTCCAGGACCCCCTTTTCCCTTTGTTATTTCTTTAACACGTCTGTGCAAACACTAGTCAATAACAAACAGTATAACACAGTTTCATCAAAAAACAGTGCTGATAGATAGATAGATAGACATATAGATAAACTTTGTGTATTAAAAAGCAGCGCCATTAAGGAGACCCTAAGCTAACACTTCAAAGTTGCATTAGTTGGTGGAAACACAGTACAGCGAGAAAATTGTAATCACACTAATGAGCAGATCCGACTGAGATCTGTTTGTTTAAGGTTCAAATGATCAGTGACAGCACAGGTTTTTACTAAACCACACCACCTGGCAGAATTTAATTAGAGCCCTTTGAAATCTGTTACAACTGCTTAGAAAGTGATGTATGTTGAGGATGTAGATAATAACAATGTTATTATCTACATATTATGATATGTTGTGATAGCCATAAGCTCTGACTTTCAGGTTTTACCAAACCAGCTAATTCAAAGAAAGCCTGGCTATGCTGAATCCAATTCATAATACACCCCCTCTGGATGTATGCTGTGAAAGCTTGTGTGTTCTGAAAATACTCACCAACAGGCTTTTGTGTTTCAAGGCTCTTTCCTTTGTATGTATCAAACAGGTTGAGAGACGCATACTTGGTTTTGCCTTCCTTCCCCTTTGCAGTTTGCCCAGAGCGATCTGACATTGCGCTGTCCGCTCATTGAGTATGGTGAGCCCTGAGACTGTAGAAGAAAGAAGAGACAAGGATAACAAGAATACACAGAAAGAGAATGAAAGTGCTGAATTTTAACTATATTTAACAAGGGATTACAGATATGATACAGTTATGTTTCTTCCAGCTGACATTAGGTATAATTGCTTTCAGATTAATAGGTGTAGCAAATCTTTCTTTTAAGATAGCTCTATGAAACAGGATATTCTGAAACACAATGACACAGCACGTAGGGATAATACACTCAGATTAGTTTATTTTTTATTTTCCTACGAATCAGAATAATTGGCAATTTACAGCATTTTCTGGGGCTTTTCTGGTTTAATTTTACTTCTATGTCTGAAGCAATATTCCTCCATTTTAAATTTTTTGTCAATTCAAATGACAAAAAAGATGTCAACAAAATATTTGGCAAATATCAGCATCATCTGATACCAGACTTACTGATTTTTAAACAAATTAATGAGATGCCATGTACCTACATTCCTTTTGCACTGGCTAAAGGGAGACATTCTTTTTTTTCTGACACAGGTGGGAAATACAAAAAATACATTTAAAAACATTAAAACACAAGAACTCTTGTCTCATTATTAGCTGAAGTGTTATTGTAAACATCAATATTAGCCCACAATTTTTCAGCCTGTCCATCAGTAATTTAAACAAAGGATTGCAAGTTGATATATTTTAACATCTGCTACATTTACGACCGATACATCTGATTTAAAAACATTTGTTTTTATATTTTGAGGTATTCATTCAACACTTAGCAACTTAGTAAAGACTGGTGTGACTTCCCATATGGAAAAGATATATATAAATCTTATAAAGTTTGTATCTGTCTTGTGTGAAACTTATATGAAAAGCATATAAGAGTGAAAACGCATATAAGATCCCTTGAAAAATTATATAATGAAACTTGTATGTTTTGGATACTTACTAAAACAATATATGAAAGTAATGAGAAAGTGGCCACTTTCATGAGTAAATCATGTAAGCCTTATATGATTTACTCATGAAAGTGGCCACTGTCATGAGTAATCACATATAAGTTTTTACTATTTCTTTTCCATATGGGTTTGACTGACCTGTCTGTAGACAGGGGGCTTATGAAGTTAAACAACTTCCCTATGACAATGTGGACAACAGTCGAGGAAACCAGCTTCGTAACATAAAAATTAACTGAAAGCTTTTAAGCACGTGTATAGGTAAGACCATAAGTTTTCTGTCACATATTGCTGAATGTCATCTAACTTGGATTTGGTGAATCAACAACATATAAAGACAAGAATCAACACAGTTTTTGGATCAGATAATGGTCCAATCCTGACTCAAAAAGCTGGACTAATATATTGGTGACCTCTGAGTGACCTCCTATGAGACAAATATATTCAGTTCAATTCCACTTTTCTAGCAGGAGAGCTTAACACAACATGGAAGAGGCTAACAATAAAGCAACAGTGGTTTAGAGGCGTTTCACAGCTGTGACGCCAACAATTTTTCTTTGTATGTTTGCAACAGTTTTGAATTTAACCAAGAATTGTGGCCACATGACTGGAAAAGTCAGGCGACAGGAATGCCTTCACTGCCCTTTGCTTCAAAGCACTTGCAATTTTTATGATAACATAATGCATTCTTGACAACTTGGTTAATATTATTTGAATTTCAGGTTTCTAGTCAACTCTACTCCAATATGTGTGTCAAAACGTTAAGTACTTAGCTAGAAAGGAGAGACTAGCGTGCAAAGAGCAGTAAGCAGTAAAGAATAAAGTAGAATTCATGGTAGCATGTTCACGTTTGTTTTGGTAGGCATTGGGCTAGTCAACCTACAAAGATGTGCTTGAATGTGCTTGTATGCAGTCCCCCACAGCCAAAAAATTTATTAATAAATAGAAAAGCATGTAGCAGTGATGATATGCATGCATAGGATGCTGACTGATTAAAAAGTTGGGTCGAACATTAAAGGAGGTGATAATGCAGTTCACCACGGAGAGAAAGAAGTGTTAAAAAATAATATTAATAAAGAAAATAAGTATGAGAAGCACAGAGCTGCAGTGTTCATTACTTTTAACACCTGGCTTCACATCACTACAAAGAAACATGAGTTTGTTCTCTGTGGCAATGGTTAAAACTAAAGGACAAATAACAGCGCAAACACATACCTTTTGGTCTACACAGTTTTAGCTCTTCCCCCTTCTGACAATACATAGACACAACATGCAGACATTGGTCTGCAAAGCTCTGCATAGGACTAACACATAGCCAGGGTCATTCCTTAATTTAATTTGTCATCCCTCACCACGAGGTCCCATCTACAATTCAAGAGATACTATAACGTACTAACTAAGCCAGCACCTTTCATCAAGACTTAAAACTGTCTTTATCGACAGTGTCTGCAGTTGTCCATATCCACAACTGAGTACAATCCCTAGCCAGCTATCCACTATTCAAATACATTAGATAAACTGTGCATTTCTGATTTTTAATAAAGACCTTTTGGATGCATTTATTTAACAATTTGGTTCAAAAAGTCAGAAAAAACTTTATGTGTAGACTACTGTTGCCATATATATATATATATATATATATATATAAAAAGAGAGAAAAGACTCCAGCTTATTAACTGAACACTAGTACTGGTTCGGTACTGTATCAGCAGCAACCTGGAGCCAACATGTCAGTTTTATTTTCTATTTGTATAAATTCAGATAAGCAGATCTCTATATGCCCATATGGATACAGTTTAATGGGAGCATATGACTGCACCATTTATAATACAGCAATAACACCAGCATAATTTTTTATGTGCTATAAAAATGTCATACCATATATAGCAACATTATACATTTATGATCTGTAGTGCACACAATAAGACAAGCCTGTCATGTCTGATAGCAAGAGCTGCGTAGTACCTAAGAAGCCCCTCCCAAAGTAGTGCTCTGTAAAATATGCAAGAAAACTGTTCCTGTTGAGTGTAGAAAAAAAAAACTTGTTTCAGTGCTTGAAGCAAAAACAGATGATCAAGTACAACCAGCTAATAAAGGAGGAGATACTAGGAGCTAGTGATGTGCGATTCAAATGTAAACAAATGGCTCCACTGAGCAATTTGCTAACTGCACTCCATGTGACAGGAAGAGCAAATGGTGGATGGAAATTACTGATGTGGTTACAAGGTGGTGAAGCAGGGCTATGAGCAGGTGGTTAAAATGCACAACCCAAAGCACAACACCCCAAGAAATATGCGACAATACCATGCATCTCCGGAAGACTTAAGGTTAAGTTACTTTATTTACTGTTGTTCTAAAGTGTTAACCAGTTATTTTATACTCCTTAAACATTCCAGGAAAAACAAAACCTAGGCTATTTTTGTGCTACGTTTGACTTATGCTGTGTCACTACTATTGCACCACAATGCTGCTGCTGTCATCTTGCTTCAATTGATTCAAACATCAAATCGTGAAGTGTGTCATCAAATACAGCAACTCAATGGAAAAGGATGGATAATGCCAAACTGCTAATTTTCTTAAAATATCATGACATTTTAGGGCTATACTGTTCAACCCTAGTTAGCAGACGTTCACTGCTTATCAGATGAACATTATTTCAAAAAAAGGTGGGGAAAAAGCAGAACCATGGTTTCTATGGAAACACATTATAAATGATATTCTTCATGCCTTGAGACAGAGGGTTCGGCTCCATGGCAACTGCCAGGCCTTTAGGTTGAACTCATTTTACTGCACATCAATAAAAGACAGGGCACTGACATCTGTCCAATTCACAGCGATTTGGCTGCATCCATCAGGTTAAAATGCTGCCACCACCTCCTACTCCCATTAGGCACAATGACTGCGAACACACGGGTCTCTAAGATCGTGAAGACTTTGTCACATCGTCATATCATTTCATTCACTTGGCTTCAATAAAAAAAAAAAATTAATACTGACGTGAGAAAGTCAATCTAAATTGTCTGTGTTTAGAAAACAGTGATTATAGAGATATAGGTCTGTGCTACAGTGACTCAAGCATTAAATAACTGAAAGGTGGGAAGACGTCTCATTAGATGGCTGCATAACACAAACAGCAACACATTCCAAAGATATGTTTGAAGACTCAAATATGCAGCCTTCTACTGCGCACTGACGATCATCAAAGGAGCAAAATGTACGATTTTTGCTTTTATACACATCACTTTAAAAAAACAAAAACAAATAACCCTTCGTTAATTACTTTTTAAAAAAGGTTGTACACGGTAACTACGAAGCTGCGCCAGCCTCAATAACCAGATGAGATTAGAAAATTAGGTCGTGGGATGGCTGGTCAGCTAGATGTTGTATGGGGATTAACTGGAGCCCTAAGTGCAGCAACGTATACCACAAAGAGGCCCCGTGAAGCTAAAGGCTAACGGTCAACACCAACTACGACGGGCAAAAATCAGCTAGTAGCTCCAGGAATCATTGCCTTGTACATATATATGCAAAACAGAAACATCAGGAGCGGTGATGTGTGATGTTTTTCTTATTTTTTTTTTCCTCCTGTGGTGCTAACCAGCTCGATGCTAACAGAGGCCCTCGGTGATCTCGTTGGGAGGGGGACTGCGTTGATGTTTCATAATGTATTTTCAACACCTCGCAGCTATCACTTAGCTCACCGCTTGTCAGCTCCATGCTTTGAATCACACAGTGACATTACGACTGCTCGTCCTTACCAAACTGTTATGCTTACTTACAGTTAGTGGGAGGCCCGGGGTAACGCAGAAAAAAAACAGATTTTTATTAGATGAACAAAACAAAATGGCGGTGTAGATGGGCCCTGTGCATACTAACCCAGGCCGGTTGGGTAGCATTAGAGAGCTGGCTTGTGTAGGTACATACTACTTGAAATACACTACACTATACAACTTAACTGTGCTGGGAAAAACAACCACTGACAAATCATCAATACTGAGCAACGGTTGCGTCTTTTAATCGGACACCCTCCGAGCTAAAGCTGAAGCCTCGCTAACGTTTATCCGCTAGCACTAGCCACGAAAAAAACATCTAATAGTAAACAGATATTTCATCAGCACACAAACGTCCCAGACACCTTTACTAAAAGGTAAATAAATGTGTGTTTATACACTAAAAAAAACAAGTGGCTAAATTCAGAAGCTAGCGAATACTAGTCAACCACTTAGCCAAGCTAGGCTAATGAGCTAGACAGCCACCTAACGTTAGCTATGCCTTTGCAAAAAATAAAAATAACCTCGATCCTTAACCAAAAACACCCTCACAGATGCGCCGAGCCCTTGCCAAGAGGTAAGAGTAACAATGTCTCTTCGGTACAATGTAACTGCCCAATGTCCGCATGGAAACATGCACAATTTTTCCAACCACTGACCTGGTCTTGTCCCGACTTGTCTCGAGGTTGTATCGCTGAGTGAGGTTAGCTTATGCTATCACGTATAGCCTCTTTCCAGCAAGTGACCCAGCTAGCTAAGCAACGTTATCCTCTCGCATAGTCAAACCAACACACTCTGGCTTTGCTCTAACTTTGATAAAAGCGGCAACGTATGGATAAAGAAGATATTCGGCTTACTTGTGCTCCTTTTCTTTTTTTTGTAACTCCCAAAAATAAATGAAAAGGGGGGAAAAGAAAATGGTTAATGCTGGACTCGATCCGTCGCCTAAAGAGCCGTCAACGGCTACTGAGCCGTTTGGGACCTCTACAGTAAAATAAATAAGCCACTCTTATGTTGTTTAAAGTGCAAGTGAAGCCTCTCCGAAAGAAATGTGAATATTGCAAAGTTAATACCAAAAATATCTAGCAAATTTATCCATGAAAATTTAAACAATTAATTTTACAATAGAAATCTGATATTTCACGTTTTTAATATGTAGATGGTGCATTATCTTTTTAAATATATGTTAATTGTAATACATTTATAAATAGAAATCTGAAAATTTGATTACAAACATTTGACATTTTTTATATGTTACGATTTCTGTATTTATCACTTCATAAATAAATAATAATAATAATAATAATATAAAATAAAAATGCTAAAAGACACAAAATTAAAACTTTTCCACCTCTGTGCAAAGACTTTGAGCCATGTTTCTTTATATTACCTTTGAAGGAGCCAGTCCTTGTTTTTTAAAGTGGTCTTTAACTATACTTCTCCAGTCTTTCTGAACATCTTTCAAAGTTTTCCTTTGGCCATTGGCTGCTTTTTCACTCATTTTCAGTCCAGTCTTTTTACCTGACCATTTTCAGAGGAATGTTTGTTTGTTTGTTAAGCACTTATCAGTCATCGATTGACCTCAATGTTATTGATCATCCTGACAGAGAATACAATAAAAGGCAGGCACTGACCTTTGAGAAGACTGGAAAGCCATTCCTGAAGACTACATAAAGAAATGAGGACTGGCTCCAGACTTTTGGTTGTACTATAGATGGATAGATAATTTGCAGTGTGAAATTCCAGTCATGCCTATGGAGCCACTTATTTTTTTAAAACAAAAAGATTGCCAGTAAAAGTCTACAGCTGATTACTTACACCGAGATGTCTTTTTTTGTAAGTTTTATAAAATGTTATGATTTAATTTTCCATATATGCACTAATTTGCATGAATATTGACTATAAGTGTATGAAATAAAGACCTATATGTGTATTTGAGTTTACTTTTTCCAAGCGTAAACAAAAACATGTCAGAAAAATTGACGTTGGCGTGACATTTGCAACATATTTTTTTACCTCATGACTCAATTGTGACTTTCAAAAGGCAATTCATAATTAATCTATTTTTTTAAACTACATTCTATTAAAATGCAAAATATGTTAACCTGTTGATATGCCTAACTGCTGATCATTGAATATATTTTCATATTCATATCCCAACTAAATGTTCTTTCTTTTGGAAAACTCAGCACACTGATTTTCATTAGAATGTAAAGTAAGTTTCAAAATAAAAGCAGTAAATATTTTACAACTTAAAAGAAATGAGTTTTTTCCCTTATATTAGAGTTGTATCACAAAGACATATAGAGAAAAACATGAAGTGACATTTTTTGCCTTCAACTGTGGTTTAAATCAGTCCCTCCCTTTTATTTTCATTTCAGACATAAAAAGTGTGTTTTCCACAATCAAATCCATAAAAACAAGGACAATGTGACAAGAAGGAAAATCCATTACAGCACAGATTCATTTATCCGCCAAGCAACTACAGACAAAAGACATTTGGTCATAATCTGACATTTAAAATACACAAATAAAATAACTCCGCTTCCGCTCCATAAATACAAACAAAGACACCTTTTCATTCACACATTCTTCCACACAAGTATATGAAACAATTATTTAAACCTCAAAGAAACAATTAAAGAGAATTTATAAGTGAAAATATATATCTTTTAAAAAAGGTTTTGCTTTTTTAGGCCATTATTTTACACAATTACAAGTTTTCTAAAGGTAGAACTGATTTCAATCAGCATGAATTCACAGCAAACTTTATGATAGTAAAAGAAAAAACTGTTGCATCTATAGTGGTTCAAAAGTAATTTTCACTTTCACACACTCAAACATTAGTTTTTTTTCTGTCCCAAAACAATTAGGTTTACAAAATACTTAACAATCAGCTTTTTGTAAACTATGTACCCCGTCTGTAAAACAATCTTCAGCATTTCCTGCTTTGACATATTTCTCTGCCCGAATTTTGCAGCTGTGTAGTTACTTGGCAAATAAAATTAAAGGGTTACAAACACGTGATTTAAACCCCCTTTGAAAAATGTAAAGGACAGAAGGATTAAATCAGAGAAAAATATTTTTTGATGGCGTAATCACAAAATGTGTGCGTGCAGATTCTTCTTTCTCCATTTTCGTGATATCCTAGAATGAGTCTGTTTATCTTCCTGAGAAAGCTGATGGATTAAAAAAAAAAAAAAAACTCTTCCGGTTTTCTTTTTTCCCTTAAGTGTTTAAATCTGAGACAAAACAGATAAGTTATTTATGTTTAGTTTGCACCATAGTTCATGTCTGACTTTGCTCTACCTACGTCCTCGTGTGCTCTTAACGACCACCATACAGGTGGATCTTGGTGAACGAGACAGTCTCGAAATAGTCTTTCTGGCCCTTCTCGTAGATGACAAAGATGTACTTGCGGTCTTCTACAGAGCCGCTGTCCAGTGATGTCATACTGGAGTAGCCGCTCGGACCCGCCCATATCTGGACAGCTTTGTTCTCCCAAGACATGCCGTTTGTCAGCGACCATTTCAGGGTTAGATTCACTCCTGAAGGAGATAAAGCATCACTTATTTATCCACTCAACTTAATCAGGATCATTTCAACCTGGGTTTTTTCTCATCAGTGAGACTCTGTGTTTTGTGCTGATTAAGCAGTTTCCACCTGTACTGCAAAGATTCAGGGAAACAAGGTCAATCTATCTGATTACAGCATTGCATCATGGTATCATTTTCTGCCAGAAAGTTTGCCTCAAACTGGCGTGCATGGATCACTGCGTAGCATCAGATTTCTGTGTTTACTTTCAGTTCAAATTGAAACCGAAATAAGGTGAAAGTCACTTTTTTCATGAAGCTTTACTGAGCTTGTACTTTAGCTCATATGTGAATACAGTTCATAAAAAAGTGGAAAGTTGCCATGATTTATAGAGCTACAGTAAAAACAAACCAGATAAGTTAGGGGAGCTGAAATAAACTTAATTATCATTGGATTCCATAAGAATATAAAGTAGTTATTGTGCCGTAAAGGAAAACACTAAAAGTGGCCAAAGTAACCAAATATTAAATTAAATTTATTAGTGAATACTAAATTTACTCAGGAACTAACTGGGTGGACATTTTTGGGGTAACAGGACATGAATATTTAATAATTATAACTAATGCAACTGATATGAGCCAAGAGTAGAAACGGGAGCAGAGATCACCATGTTTCATATTAGCATTTCTCACTAGAATGGCATACAGAATACATAAAGAGTAACATTCTTAATACACAAAACTAACTTTTTGCTAGTCTTACACAGAGATGAAAAAGCTTAGTGCTCGTGTTTCTTACTCTTTTGCTCATTGGAGGGGTTGGTGAAGTAGATCACGCCCTCTTTTTGCAGAGCTCCGGCTGCCACTACAGGATCCACCAGTGCCTCGTCAAAAATCAGGCCTTCTAAGGGCAGGGTCAACCCTCCATCATAGCTGTGCACCACAATGCGGCACCGGCAGTGGTAGTTGTTCTGGTTCCGGACGTTGATGGCGATGGTCCCGTCAGTCAACTCAATTGGCTGCAGAAGGACAGACGGAGAAAAGAGTGTATCACAGGTGAAAGATTATAATTACAATTGTAATACGGATGCCTTCATATAACTGCACTGAATAAAATAAATGGGAGAATCTACACTGAAGTTAAAGACAAAAACAACAACTTTCTGTCCACTAGAGGGCAGAACCACACTTCACAACAGTGCACTATGAGCATTCACGCTTCCTCATGATGTCACTAAATAAACTAATGCTAACTCCCCTTTAACTTAATAACCACCAAACTTTCTTTTTGCTGCTACAAGTGTGACTTTTCCCCAACAACTACTTGATAATTTTCTGTAGTGCAAGCAAAACAAAGTCATTTTAAAACGCCACATAAACATTTCCAAAGACAAAAAGAAAAGAGAGAAGTGGCTGTTAAACGTAGGTCTATCAGAAGATTCAAATCATTAGTTACACTCAAGAACAAGAAGACCAAATTATACTTTTCCATAAAAACAACTAATAGAGCCTCCACAGGTTTGGAATATATTGGTTGAAGAAATTAAACCAAGATTAACTGATACCAGAATGATGGGAAGATACAGAATGGAGAAAGAAAGGAACTGTTCATGATCCAAAGCAAACCACATCATGTGTCAAACATGATGGAAACAATATTATGACATGGAAATTTACGGCTGCCAATGAAACAGAGTCACCAGTGTTTATTGATGATGTGACTGCTGACAGAAGCAAAGTGCAAACGACACTCAAGAATTTCACAAGAAACTGGATATTCCTCATAGGCCAAGCGAGTCACCTGATCCAACCCAACACGGCACGCGTTTCAGTTATTAAATAGAAAAGTGAATGTAGAAAAAGCCTCAAATAAGCTGCAAGGAAGGAAACCATCTGCAGTAAAGGCCTGACAGAGCATATTAAAGGAGGAAATGCAACATTCGGTGATGTCCTTGACTTCAAGGAGTCGTTATTAAAAGCATTAAAAACAATCCTTATGTTAATTTTTCCTATCGTGTTTGAGCGTCTGAAATGGGGGACTGTGCATAAAAAGGGCCATAATTTCAAATCAAATCAAATCAAATCACTTTTATTGTCACATCACATGTGCAGGTACATTGGTACAGCACATGTGAGTGAAATTCTTGTGTGCGAGCTTCACAAGCAACAGAGTTGTGCAAAATACAATAATGTAAACAAGCAAAATACAAGAATGGCTACATCTGAAACTAATAAATATATGTACAATATATAATAGTATATGCATTTCTGGATGTGTATACTAAATATTTTTCTACGTGTGTGTACACATATTTTACAAATTAAATAGAGTAAACAATAAATAAAATATATAAAAATATACAGAGTTGAGACATGTGCAAAACAGTGGCATTACTGTACAGTATGGAGTGCATAATGTTAAAGTTCCAGTAGTGAAGCTGAGGTGTCTATGACGTGTTCATCAGTCTGATGGCCTGATGGAAGAAGCTGTCTCTCAGTCTTTATAAACAGTTAATCGTTTTGTAATCGTGAATTAAGCTGAAAGTCTGCACTTTTAAATCCATCGTAGTGTAGTGAAACTCTGGTATTATTTATCCTGTACCACTTTATTTATAAAGCAAGTAAGTGAAGGAGATCACCTGATGTGCGATGATAAATCCTTCCACAATTCTGGAGCCGAGAAAGCTCTATCACCTCAGAGTTTGCATTATGTCTTTGGAACGAGTAAAAGCACGTGGCCTTCTGACCTGACCTGCTGACCTGTACACAAACATGTGCTAGAGTAGGTATGAAACAGCACTGTGCTAAAGTATGCAGATGACTCTGTTATTGTTAGTCAGCTGCAGGAGGCCAGCCTCATGATTCTGTTAAATGGCACCTTGAGTCCTCTCTTCAGTTAAAAAAATGTCAAAAGATGTTAATCATTGATTGGTCTGATTTTAGGAAATGTGCTCACACACAACAGGTCACAGCTATAAAGGGCCAGGTGGTGTAACGTCTTGAGTCTGATAAACATCTTGGAACAATTATTGATTCAAAACTGAACTTTGAGGCAAACAAACTGTGAAGCTGTGAGCACAGAAGGCACCAGCAACTGTCCTGCTTGAGGAAACGTTCTTACTTCCACAAAACCACGATGACTTTATCCCGCTTTCACCAAGTCTGTTTTGTCCTTTTCCTTGGTGGTCTGGATATTTATGTGTAAAAAAACAGAAGCTCACTCAGGCACAATGTTAAATTACAGGCTGACTGGTGAGCCACAGCTGAACCCAGCTTCTCTGTATGTCAGGCAGTTACAGCGGTTGGCTAGTTAACTTTCACTTGATGACTCACAGCCGTTGCATAGCGAGTTTCAATCTCTTCAATCTCTGAGGATACAAACAGAGTAATCTAAAGCTGAATGATGTTTGATCACCACTGTTATGTTTATATAAATGATATGCAAATACAGGATATGGAATGTGAAAATGTTTAACATTTGCTGATGTTATGGCTGTTTGTTGGTTTCTTTAATGGGAATTTTAAGTCTGATTATTTTGCTCAGGTATGTAGATTTGAGGATTGGTGTAAATCTTGTTATTTGCTGATTAATGCTGACAAAGGGAAACGCCTTGAATTACACAGGCTCAAAAAACAGGTTTTTCACTTTCTGATCAGTCTGTTTAAGTCAGTAAAAGCTTCAAGCGTCTGAGGACAAGATGACAAGATTTATGGGAAGTATGATTTATGGAAAATATTGATGTCATCAACAAGAAAGCTAGTCAGAGTTTTTTTTTTTTTTTAGGAAGTTAAAAAGTTAAAAGTCAACAAAAACATTATTTTTTTGGTGTATGTCAGCTTCAATATCTCCATCTGGGATGGTAACCCGAGTGTGGCAGATAGAAACAAACTGGGCAGCATTGTCAGAACTGCTGCTGGTTGACAACAAACCTCATTAGATAATCTGTGTGTATGTAGTTATTATTGTATTAGTAATTACCAGTATTTTTATTATGGATTGATTATGAATTGATCTGCAGCATGGTGAACCAAAGAAAATTTTCCGCTAATGTCGACAACAAAGTTAATTTAATTGTGGAAATGACAAAAAACTCTGTAACTGTTCAAATACTAATGGCTCTAACTGTAATCTCTAACTGACCGACGGCACCAGCAAACATACCTGGCACTCATCAGGGTTGAAGTCCTGCGCTTTTTTCTTCTGGTTGTAGGGGATGCTTTTCAGTGCTGCACCGTTGTACCAGGTTTGTCCGTGGTCGTCGCTCAGGATGCAGAAAACACCGTCGCCCTCCAGTGTCCCATGACCGCAAACCACCAACCTCCCCTTTGCAGGATTGAAGCGCTTCTGTAGTCCAAAAGACACAAACAAAAAACAGTTCAGGGATGCAGCTGTTGGTTATCATCATTTAGTATTTTTTTTAATGTCTAAACACGGTTGGTGAGCTGAGAAGTCAGAGAAAACAAAGAGGAGAGGAATTAAACGAGTGAGCTGTGTTCAAATAATTTATTTTTTTTTTTTACAGATACTGTTTTGTGTCATATTACTGATTAAAAAGGTGTAATATCCACAAACATAACAGCTCTTAAAGATTGATATAGACTGTGGAGAGAAACAAGCAGCTGCAGACATTACTGTCTGGATTAAATGCATTCAAAGCTGAAAATAAAGCTATGCATCTGGTTAAATTCAATTGAATAAAGTCCATATTAGAAAGGCAAGTATAAATATAGCTCACACAAAAACAAAGAGGTTCATTTACTGAATATCGGTGCTGTTACACTTGCAGTGCCTTACATTATGCTCTAACTTTTTCTTTTATAAACCAGCTTTAATATTCCTGTGTGTGAGCTGAGCACCTCTATGCAAGCAGAGGTTTGCTTGTCTGGAGCATTCACGTGTGTGTTAACACCAGCGATGATCTCAGAGGAGCAACTGCTGCTGCCCATCAGTCTGGGTTTCCAAACAATTTCAAGTTGACTCAGAAGTGGAAAACATTCAGGACAGCTGCTGATCTTCCCAGGACTGGACGTCCCAGCGAATTCACCCCAAGGTCAGATGGTTAAATGCTGGGAGAAGCTGGATAAAAATCCCTGAGAGCTACATCTCAGACTCAGCAGGCCTCAGCTAGCAAATTAAATGTTACAGTTAATGTTCGTTTAGAAAAAGACTGAACAAGCACAGCTTGTTTGGAAGGGTTACAAGGAGAAAGCCTGTCTTCTCTAAAAAGAACATGAAAGTACAGCTTAGGTTTGCAGAGTCACGCTGACTCCTGGAACAATGTCCTTTGGACAGACGAGGCCAAAGCGGAGCTGTTTGTTCATCGTGCACAGCACCACCTGACAACCAAACACAGCATATCAGCACAAACACCTCATACCAGCTGTCAGGCACGGCGCTGGAGCACCTAGCCACAGGACCTGAGCACCTTACAGTCATTGAGTCATAAAGTCAAACAGTGGTGCTACAAGCTACTGAATCACAGAGTGTACTTAGTTTTTCACATGACTGTAGCTCATAATAATAAAAAAAAAATGAATCTGCATGTTCTAGGGAAGGCAACAACATCATAAGAAGCAGATTTTATTACAGCAGCGTTTATAGTTCACCTCGCACTTAACATAATGTTTCAGTGAAGGTTCGAAACATATCAGCAGGTTACGGCATTAATTGGGATTCTATTATCTATTTTTATTTCATAAAAGGCAGACCAGTGTATCCTCTGCTTAATAATGAAATAATACTTCAGCACTTCCAGCTCACTTCCCTTCACACAGTTAGGACCCTTTCATCATCGACAGCCTTACTCTGACCTCTCAGAGGCATGCAAGGGGAAAAAGTGACATTTCAACTGAACATTTTTTATACTTGTCATTGTTCTGGAAACCCCATTATAGTTTTAGGGAGCATTCATGGTTACGAATTTATGCTACACGTTCGGGTTTCACACTTAGGATCCCAACTGCTCAGCCACTGAGATGATTCATAGTATATTTAGACATTTAGTAAAGACACAAACATCCCAACATTTACACTTTGCCTTCCACTGATGCCTTTCTTATTTATGTCCGATTTAAGTATTGCTTCCCTGTTTAGGATTAATGAAAGTATTTAAGGAAGTCATGTCAGTGTGAGGTATTTTGATTACAATTACAGGTAACTGAAAAATACTCAAGTACAATCGTTAGACCACAACTAAGACATACTGTGCATCAAATGCAACAACAAGAAGCTCCGTTTGCATCTGATTCTGAGTCCATTTTAATAAACTAACGCTCTGTGACAGGTTTATATACTTTCAGCTGCTACTACTGACCACTTTTTGTCTGAAATGAAACAAGAACAAAGCCAGGTGTCGTTTCTCTAATCTGGACAGAATAATAAAAGAGACAGCAATCACGAACCAGTGCAATCCTCAGTAATCCTTTATCTTCTGAGCTCATGACTTCTTTTTTTTTCCTTTTTATTAAAGCTGGCCTGTTTTTATGACAGCTGCACATTGCAAAACTCTGATGTCAAACTCAAACCAGTGCTTTTGTACCCGAGTCACATGAAAGCCTTTTGTCTCCTCTGCAGTGTTCAGACTTTGAGATGATAAAGGTGAACAAGGCAAGTACAGAAAACTGATAGTGTTAAGAAATATACTCTAAAACACTTCTTCAGTAAAGGCTCAGAGAAGAGAAACACACAGAACTTCTTGCTAGCAAGGGCAGCCTCCAGAACTGAGAATCGCGCTGAGGACTCCCCTGGTCTTTATTTATATGCTTCAGTGAGCGTTTGTTCCTTACATTGGAATGTGGAGGTGTGTGTGTGTGTGTGTGTGTGTGTGTGTGTGTGTGTGTGGTGTGTGATGTGTGGCCCCATAAACGACTTCCCTTAACCTGCTGGTCTGGAAAATCCAACAGTTCATCTATATGTAAAAAAGCACTTAGACTAAAACTGACATAGCTACGTTAATCCTACCGTAAAACAATAAGACAAGGTACAACCTCTCCCATACTCCCAGGATGTGGGGGTGAACGCCAGAACACCCTGGAATGTCACAGACCCCCTAGGATGAGATATTCTTTCAATATGCCACCAACTATATACTTCTAAACACTAATGATTACATGCAGTATTCTACCATATGCAAACTTATATCATTAAAAGATTATACTGACTACTAAGTGCAATTTTCTATTGACAGATAGGGAGTCAGATTGATAAAGAATGTAGTCTACAAGTAGGATCAATAAAAGGCTTGTGGCTTCTAATGCATGAACACACAATCACTCTTTTTGCTAAGCATCAAAAGAATATTCTTAATGCTAATTTAATGCAAATTAGTTTTTGCACATTACACCTAAACCTCTTCAGAGCATAATTACAGAGGTGGAAAACAGATGCATGGAGCAAGATTTCAGGAACAGGAACCAAATTTACATTATAGCCACAGAGAAATCTGCCTGGAAAATCTCACTTTAACATCTTGAATCGTGACTCTGTGATGGGAATTGCTGAGCACCCAGGAGCTCATGATCACAATAAAAATAAATCCAGCTTAAAGGTCGTTTCACTTACATTTTAGCTTATTTTACAGCTTGAAAAGTTCACTCACTTCAGTGTCACATGTCTTGTTCTCTCACCTGGAGGCCGAGGCCCGGCCCGGGAGCGAAGCTCTTCACGCCGAGCGTAACCGAGAGGTTTCTGGGCGGGGTCCAGCTGAGGCCGTCATCCCGGCTCTCCACCATCATGATGCTGGCCGGGCTACAGTGGTAGTGGTGGAAGCACACTGAGTAGATCAGAATCACTGAGCCCACTTCCTCGTCCACCACAACAGAGCCCAGGTTTATGCCATCCGGTGCCGCCCCGTCATCGATAATAAAGGTGGTCGGGGACCAGGTGCCTCCTAGAGAGATGATAGAGGAAGAGGAGGAGATGAAGCAGAGAAAACGTGACCTGTTTTTTGTGCTTTTGTGCTTTTTACTTTTATTTCAAGGCTCAGTCAGCAGAATTTATATCATCAGTCTGTTTGAACACTGCGTAGAACTCGTTGATCCAGTTTCAAGGTATGAAATGTTTAAAAAAAAAATTTGGTAAATATAAATAAAACCAAACATCTACTCAAAATATCAATTATGGTTGATGCTAACAATGACATACACTCCCAGACATTCATTCAGAAGCGATAAACTCTCCTCATTTGCGCCCATGTGACTGCTGACTGTTTTCTGACACACTGTAAGTTTTGTGTGACTGTCTATCTCTTGCAGTGGTCTTGCCTTTGTCTGTGGAGCGCCGCATTGCAATGAACTTCGCTCCAATGTCAGAAGAAGAAGACTTCCTGGCTTCTGCAAACGCCAGCAGGCTTCCTTTGGGGGTGAAGGTGAGCAGTGGGATCCTGTAAGTGTTCACCTGACCCTGGGCTCCGCTCACCCACAGCAGCTGCTCCTCAAACACCAGGGGGTCGATCTGAACAGCGGGGAGAAGGGAAGGTAAAAGAGAGGGAAGAGATATTTGTGAATTATCTGTAGGCAGGAGCATTTTCAGCATGCTTCAGGTGTCATGTAACAGACAAACATGTGATCTGGCTTTGAGTTCAGGAAATGAAAAGAAAATCAGGTGATCTTGCTTTTCCTTTAAGGAAGCGATTTTGTGTCCTTCAGCCACTAGAAACTATTATCAAAGGTCTAAAGTGGCATCCTGGCACCTAAAATAAATAAATAATTCAACCTGATAGGTAATCTGGTACAGAATAGTCTAAATCAGTTCATTTTTCATGTGGTGCAGCCTGACAGTCCTTTCAGCTATGACTATGAAGGCAATTAAAGTCATCACATGGCCCTGTCGTGCACCAACTCCACTGAAGCGAGGAGCTTCCTCCTTCTGTTTTTTTAATATGTCAAGTAAGTTAAATTCAACATTTCAAACATCTCAACTTCTATCACCAAAAACACAAACTGTTTCTGTGCAGTTTGAATATTAATACATCTGTTAGCTAAGGGTAGAGCTGCAGTATTTTCCAGGAGCACAAAAGTGAATATGATTTCACAGTGATAGACAGGTCAGGAGAAGATGAGAGATTATTTTGAAGGGTAAAGACTGTAACAGATAAACTGGAAATTTAAAGCTCACATACCACGTCTTAGTGCATGCCAGATTTTAAAATCAGGCAGTGGATCTGTACACGATGTGCAGCTGAAGTTATCTGATTATCTAATATCTGAAGACTATCCTCTGATAGTTCTAACATGTTATTAAAAGTGTATACTGTGTTGTATGGTTTACAGCTGCATGGTGCACTAATGCAGGTCAACAAAGCCATAAGACAGATAGACAGCAGACATTTACATGGGAATTATGGTTTTAAGTTTTTTCATAGGATTCGACATAAAGTTCTGGCCATGCAATAATATACTCAGCTGAAATTAGAGTTAATTTTGATAATGCATTAAAATAAATGTCCATATGCATATGACTAAGTGACACATGTTGCTTCTAGAAGGGTTTTGGTAGGAACAATCAATACGAATGTAAGCCTTTCTTTAGTAACACTTGCCAAATTCCACCTTTACCCTAGCTTTAAGGTTTAAAAGCAGCAATGATGGTTCATGTAACATCAGTACTGTAGAAACTTGTTCTTTCAGGGGTCACAACAGCTCAGCATTTCATATCTGCCTCCATCTCACCCTATCCTTAGCAACTCCCTCTGCATGTCCTGCTTCACATCATTTGTGAACCTGCTCTGTGGGCTCCCTTGTCGACGTCCTGGTTTGGCAGGTCTCTAAACCTGAGCTCTCCCTCTGATGTGCTCATTTCTAATCCTGGTCATTTTGAACAAAAATGTTAACATCTTCAGCTGCACCTCCTGTCGTTTTGTCAGCACATACGTCTTCAAACCATACGTCATAGCAGGTCTAGTAACAGTTTAATTCTTCTCTCCAGAGCATGCCTGCACCTCTCCAGAGTCTCTTCCACATGCTTAGTACTCTCACTACAGATCACAATGTCATCTGTAATCATAGTCCATGGAGACTCCTGCAGACTCCCAATGCATGTGAAGGTTATCCTGTCTAAGGCTATGCCCATCAGTCAAAGTTACAACTCACCAATAAGACAAAAAGGCTTTTAAATATGATGGAAACTACCATAGAGAAAATGAAGCAGCAGTATATTTTGAGAAACAGAGTTACTGTCTTTTTTTTTTTTGTTAGTGTGACTTTAAAGTGTCACACGAGAGGAAATGGTTCGAAGTGATGTGTGTGTGTGTGTGTGTGTGTGTGTGTGTGTGTGTGTGTGTGTGTGTGTGTGTGTGTGTCATAACTGGCTAAAAATGGTCTGTTACCAGAGAGAGCAGCAGCCCAAATAACAGTGAAATAACAGAGAATACAGAAGTATATACAGACTATCTCATGAGGCCACAAGAACAAACTTCTTATGGTGTTTACTTAGCAAGAGAGTTGGGCAAGTTTCATTCAAATGTAATATATCTGCTTTAATCCCAGCATTGTTAACGCGTCCCACACAAACTATCTGTTTGTCACACATTTAGTTTGTTAGTTGCAGTTTGTATTCAGCAGCAGGCTGAATCCGCGAAGAGCAATAACCCTAAGAAATGCGGGCCAATAGGCGACAAAGAAACTAAACTACATGCGCAAACACAGAAAACTTCAAGTTCCCCCAACTGCCAAATCCCACTTTAACCCCTGGTTATATCCACTGTTGGGTTGCTTGCCTTTAGATTACTCTCCACCCAGAAAACAACCGCGCTAAACTAGATAAGTGATGGATGATGATTTTACTACAGTCATTGAACGTCTTTGCACTGTTTTATCTCTGAAGCAGGAAATATATAATATTATTTTTCTTTTATATATTCTTATTGTTATATGGTTGCGCGTTATATGACCTGAATGAAAGTAAAGTGCATGTTTGTAGTCCATCTTCTAAAGTTGTAGTTTCAGCACAGACATCCGCTGTCACATTATTGCTCAGAAATTCATGCCGAGCACTTAGCATGCTGTTATGAAGAGACACTAAGCAGATAATTGCGGGCTACTGTACCTGCTGAGGGCTGACGTTACAAATACAGCAAGACACCACAACAAAGAGCTGTAGCCAAAGAGCAGCGAGCCGGCTTCCTGCTGCCATGTTGGCTCTTTCGTAACTTCTTCTTCTTCTTCACTCCGGCAGACACAAAGAAGCGAGTGAGGAAAGAAAGTGTCGAAATAAGTCCGCAAAAACAGAAACAAAAAGAGTAGTAGGGATAAAATTCTCTCCTCTACTTCATATACCGAAAGGCCTGCCCCTGTGAGTCATATGACCCAAGGTGGGAGTCACATGACTAACGTCACTCATTGCCTACTTCGGATTTAATGGTATTTAACCTGACATGTTTTCTATAGCCCTTTATTAACTATTAGAAATTTATTATTATAATTATTATTATTTTTTTATTTGGACTATTTTGCAAATATTACTTTTCACTTTAATTGCTATATTTTATTGAGTCTACAAGAAAGCCTGTATGCAAGTGATGTAAATACATGTATAAAATTGCAAATACATAATATTACACGTGTTGTGACATTTTTAATTAATTATTAATGTAGCTGATGGATCAGCAGGACTTACATCTATATCGTCTTGGCTCAGTTTTTTCTCGAATATACATCCGGAAATACCGTCCGTGCGTAAATATGTGCATCTAATTCAAATTTACTTATGCACTAAATTATCATATCTCTATTCACAATACAGCAGAATGGATGCTCTTATTACTTTTATCCAAACTGTGGCAGAATATCATGAAAATAGCACAGACGTCAGGCAATCTAAAGTGTGCTGTACAGAGATAATCATGAAATCGTGCACATACACACCACAGAACCACAGACCAAAAAACTCAAATCAGCTGCAGAAAACAATCCTTTACATTTAACTAGTGAAGCTGCAAACATCAGCTCAGTGGGCACTAATGACCCTCCTTCAAACTGTTCTTTAGATTTTATTCAAAGAGTGTATGCATAAAGATTTAGATACATATAAAACATAAAGTTGATATATTCTTGTCACGATCTGGTTACAGGGACTCAAACGCAGAGCGGTTAGGTGTCTCCAAGGTGTAGTTTATTTACAGTGCCAGTGCAATATATGTACAGTGAAGGGATCCAAAACTCCGGGGAATCACAGGGTAGCTCTCTCACACTCGCTCACGTCTTCTTTGCTCACACTCACACACGTTCACACGGCAGGGAGGTCGCAGGCGGGGGGGGGGGGGGATCTGAGGCAGAGGAGAAGGAAAGTCACCAACTAATCACGAATTATGAAGCACAAGTCCACAGGAGCTGTGAGAACACTAACGTCAGTAGTACAACCTCCAGCGACGAGAGGATCTGTGTTCCAGCCTCAAATAGTGTGTTTTGTTTTTGTTTATATACCGAGCTTCTTACTAACTGCACGCACACACCAATCTCTGCTCCGATTCCACTTTATTTCGTCTACTTCTCCATTTCCTCTGGAGCTTCTTGCTCGCGAGTGAATTACACACATTGCAACAACACAGTGCCATCTAGTGGCTGATACACACATGAGCCAACATGTTACGTCTCCCTTCTTAAAAAAAAAAACACAACACAACTCAGGCTTATAAAATTCCTAAGGCAACTGAAATTACAGGAATAACATCCTGACCAACATCCATTACTAACGTAGCATTCGTCTCAATACTGGCTACATCATTAACATAATAAACAGATGCATATAATGACATCATTGGAACAACAAACATGTAAACAGCTTTTGTTTGTTTTTTTGTTTGATTTTTTTAGGGCAGCGATCCGCCTGCACCCTTTACAATATTACAGGTCCAAGACCCGTCTTGGTTTGGTAACACGCCCATAACGAGTCGTGTATCCAGGTGTTGTAATGTCTTTATCAGGGGGCTCCACAGGCGGGGGCTGAGATACCACAGGGCTGTCATCGTTGATGCCTGTTGGTTGAATGAACTCCTCACCTCCTACGCGGTTCCTGCTTTCGCGGAGGTGTCGGCGGTTACGGCGATAAACTTGTCCTGTATCTGTAGTTATGTTGTAGCTTCTGGACGTGTCGGCACAACTGGTGACCACAGCTGGCTTCCAGGAACCGTCTTGTTGCCGGAACTGGACCGGTGTGCCAGGATATAGTTGAGGCAGAGGTCGGGCGGCTCTGTTGAAATAAGTCTGCTGGCGCTGCTGGCAGACCTCTCTCCTCTCACGCACTGTTTGCTGGCAAACTACTTGGGGTTCCAGCTGTTTTGGTGTTGCAGGGAGGATGGAGCGAAGTCTCCGGCTCATGAGTAGTTGTGCAGGCGACTTTAAGTTGTCCACAGGGGTGTTCCGGTATTCTAATAGGCTCAAGTAGGGATCCTTATGTTCCGCTTTGGCCTTGTCCAGAAGTTTCTTTGCTGTCTGGACTGTTTTCTCGGCTAGGCCGTTGCTCTGTGGGTAATGGGGACTAGTAGTGGTGTGGGTGAAACTCCATGACTTTGCAAACTGTTGAAACTTACTTGAAGCATAGCACGGACCGTTATCACTAATCACCGACTCTGGAATACCATGCCTAGCCATGGCTGACTTTAGTTTGTGGATCACTGCTTCTGCAGTGCAGCTGCGCAGTCTTTCCAACTCGAAGAATCTACTGTAGTAATCTACCATGATGATGTAGTCTTCCGAGTTCCAAGTGAACAGATCGGTGGCTATGACCTGCCACGGTCGTTCTGGTATTGCATGTGACAACAGGGGTTCCTTGGGGTTAGCAGCTTGTCTCTCCTGGCATGTGCTGCAGGCTCCGACTGCTTCCTCAATCTGCTTTCCCATGCCTGGCCAAAACAGAAGGTCTCTGGCTCTGTTTTTACTCTTTTCTATGCCCATATGGCTGGAGTGAATCCGATCTATCATGTCCTTTCTGAGCCTTTTTAGGATGATCATTTTCTCTCCTTTAAACATGATCCCGTCTATCACTGAGATCTCATCCCTGTGGTTCCAAAACTCCTGAATGTCAGGCGGACATTGAGACCGTTTATCCGGCCATCCACTCAATGTGGTCCTTCTCAGGCTGTTGAGCTGAGGATCCTGGGCTGTTTCGTTTCTTATCTCTGAGAGTCTCTGATCACTGACAGGCATGTTGCTGAGGATTGAGTGGATCTGCGCATCCATCCCGTCACATAGTGATTCGACGTAGAACACTATGGATTTCCGGGAGAGCGTGTCGGCTACCGGGATGTCTTTCCCTGGCTTGTGGATGATGCTGATGTCGTACTTTTGCAGCTGTAGTATCATCCTCTGTAGCCGTGGTGGTGCTAATGCTAGTGTTTTTTTGAGTATGGACTCAAGTGGCTTGTGGTCCGACTCAATGGTCACATGTCGACCGTACATGTACTCGTGGAACCGCTTGCAACCAAAGCGAACAGCATACAGCTCTTTTTCGATTTGGGCATAGTTCTGCTCAGTGCTGTTGAGTGACTTGGATGCGTAGGCGACTGGCTTGCCATCCTGCAGCATCACAGCACCGAGGCCACTTTTGGATGCATCAACCTGGAGTCGTAGCGCTTTCTTGGAGTCGAAGAAGGAGAGAACTGGGCCTGGTTCTCTAGTGATCAGCTCCTTCATTCGTTGAAAGGCTCTGTCATGGTTCTTGTCCCATACAAACTCACTGTCCTGCTTTAACAGCTGGCGGAGCGGAGCGTTTATCTCTGACAGGTGTGGGGCAAATCTTGCTAGATAATTAACCATCCCCAGCACTGTTTCCAATTCCGCCCTGTTCTGTGGGGGCGCCATGTCTTGGACTGCTTTTACTTTTTGTGGATCTGGTTTCAGCCCTTCGTGTGACAATGTGTGACCAAAGTAACTGACCTCTTTGACGCAGATGGTGCACTTGTCAGGGTTCAGTTTTACACCTCTCTCTCTGCTGCGCTGCAGCATGGCCCTCAGATTGTCGTCATGTTCCTGTTTGGTTTCTCCGAAGACCAGTACGTCATCCACAATGGCTGCCACGCCCCTCAGGCCCTCGTAGGTCTCGTCCACGCGTCGCTGGAACTCATCCTGAGCTGAGATTATGCCGAATGGCAACCTAAGGAAGCGGTACCTGCCAAACACAGTATTAAATGTGGTTAACAGAGATGGCTTAGCTTAATGGCCCAGTAGCCTGATCTGGCGTCCAAAACACTGAAATACTTGGCCCCAGCAAGTTTTGTGGTGACATCCTCTAAGGTGGGTAGAGGGTAATGGGGTCTTTGTATAGCCTTGTTGAGGGGTCTGGGGTCCAGACATACTCTGAGTCTGCCCGTCTTGGGTTTTTCCACGACAACAAGTGCATTCACCCAGTCCGTAGGATCTGTGACCTTGCATATGATTTGGTTCCTTTCCATGTTGTCGAGCTCGTCTTTGAGTCGGGCTCGCAGAGCGATGGGAATCCGACGAGGTGGGCTGACTGTGGGTGCAACGTCTGGATTTACATGGAAACTGCATTCACCAGGAAATTCTCCTATCCCTTTGAATACGTCTGCATATTCGTCTAGTATTGCCTGTGAACTGTTGGTTGTCTTGCCTCTTTCCTCCGTCACTGCCATCACGATCCTTACCAGGTTAAGGTCACGGCAAGCTTTCATTGCTAATACAGGTGGGGCGCTTGTGTTAACAACATGGAATTCCAACGTGCAGGTCTTGTCTTTGTGTTTGCATTTTAGCTGGCATTTCCCTTCCACGCTGAGTGAGTGTCCCCCGTAATCTGTGAGCTTGTGTGTGACAGGCTTCAGTGTCACATGTGGGAAGAGTGTCTGGAACATGTTAGCTGGAATTGTGTTTGCTTGCGCCCCAGTGTCAACTTTAAACCTCACTGTCTGTGGGGGGGAACCAAGCTGCATGTCTGCATATGCTTGCTCATCATTTCTTCCTTCATTTTCTATGGTGATGCTATCAATGTAGAAACAGTCTTGGTCCTCATCTGTGTCCATAGTTGACATTTCTATGTTCTCTCTCACAGTGTGTACTGATTTGAGGTGGGTTTTTGTCTGCGAAGGGAGTCTTGACCTGCATGCTCTTGCAAAATGGTTCCTTTTCTTGCATTTTGCACATTGCTTCCCTTTTGCTGGGCAGGTGTCTTTATTACTGTGTTGTCCGGCACAATAGCTGCACGTTTTTAGTGTTGCATTAGCGTGTTCTTTTGGTCTCACGCTTCTTGTTTGATATTCTTGTCTGTGTGATTTCCTGCCGATGGCGTGCACAGTTTCTTGGCCCCTGGAGTGACCCATAGTTTTTAGCTGTTGCTTTGCTAGCTCGTGTGATCGTGCTATATCTATAGCTTTCTCTAGCGTGAGCTCTGCGCCTTGGCTGAGTAGCTTTTCTCGGACGTGTGGCGAGTTAGTGGCAAATACGATGCGATCCCTGACCATTTCATCTGTATTTGGGTACCCACAGTCTTTAGCAAGCAGTTTCAGTTCCGTAATAAACTGTTCAAATGTCTCATTTTCACCCTGCATCTTTTCATGGAACTTATATCGGGCGTAGATTGGGTTAGCTTTCGGTATGATGTAATCAGTGTACTTATCGTAGTACGTCTGAAGCTTTCGGGAGTCGTCTGCGGTGAGCGTCCACGTGTTGTAGACGTCCCGTCCTTTCTCACCGACCCATAGAAGAAGGTAGTGATTGTTGTCAGGTGTGTGTGTGGGCCAAGGGCGGGAGCCCACAGTGAGCTCCGCCCAGGCAGAGAGGGAGAGAACAGAAACAGCAAATGGTAAATGGCCTGTATTTGTATAGCGCTTTTACTAGTCCCTAAGGACCCCAAAGCGCTTTACATATCCAGTCATCCACCCATTCACACACTGGTGATGGCAAGCTACATTGTAGCCACAGCCACCCTGGGGCGCACTGACAGAGGCGAGGCTGCCGGACACTGGCGCCACCGGGCCCTCTGACCACCACCAGTAGGCAACGGGTGAAGTGTCTTGCCCAAGGACACAACGACCGAGACTGTCCAAGCCGGGGCTCGAACCGGCAACCTTCCGATTACAAGGCGAACTCCCAACTCTTGAGCCACGATCGCCCCCACGGTAGCCTTGTGGGGCCGACCGGGCAGGCACGGAGACCATGACAATTCTGCATAATACAGTGTCATGTGGATGCATTTCCCTGTGTGGTTGGCCAATAAACAGCATATTTTAAGGGTTAAATTGTAGATCTATGACTTTTTTTCTATGCTTGCAATGATCAGGATCGTTTATTTATTCTATAAATAGTAGCCATCCTTAACCCAACTGGACATTTACAATAGATAACTAAAACGACAACATATTCTCCTTACATACAAACACAGTTTTATTACGTCATTCACACACAAACACACACAGGTAAATGTAAACCACTCAGATTAAAAACTCACTTTGCAAAAATGATGCAGAAAAATGCAGAAAGTAAAAAGAAGATTTTATTTAAAATAATATTTAAAAAATCCAACTTCACATGTACAACTTCATGAAACAGTTTATTTGTTGATTTGCCGTACAGCTGATTAGTAAAGATCCTCCCCGTGTTTTCACATCCCAACTAAATCCCTGAATAAACAATAAAAACAGAAGTATGTTGGAAAATAAAAGTAATAAACATTTTACAATTTAAAACTGTGAAAAAAGGAAATTCTTTCCTACATTAGAGCCATATTTATATCAAACAGGCACTCAGAGAAAAACATAAAGTGACATTTTTCCATCATAGAAACAGAAACAAGAACAATTTCATTACAAGGAAGAAAATCAGCTACCGCACATTTAATGTACCCGACTTGTATTTTAAAGTGCTCAGAGTGGTCAGTAAGACCAGAAAAGTGTTGCTTAATGCAATTACAGTACACAAGGAAACTATTATTATTATTACAGCAGATCTAATGGACTCAGCTGGACATTTAAAACCCACAGGTAAAAAAAAACAACGCAGCATTTTCTATAAAAATCTAAATATAATTCCTTCGGTTACATTAAGCACCTTGTTTTTTTCACACATTCGATCACACAAGTACCTGAATTTAATATTTTACATCAGTTTTCTAAGAGGAGAACTGATTTCAGAATTTGAGGCATCTTGTATATTTAAGAAGTTCACTTATGTGACTACACCAGGGGTGTCAAAGATAAGGTCCGGGGGCTAGAATCAGACTGGCACAGACTCCATTTGGCCCGCTGAGCAGCTTTGAAAAATGTGAAGGTGCGCATAAATTGTGGACTTTTAACTGCATTTTCACAACTTTTACTACTAGTAAAGACCTCCCCGATGGCCATTCAACTTTCTGTTTAAAAATTACCTGACAGTCTGGCCAATGAGCATCCAGAACCTTTTCTATTATTTACATACTGTTGAAATTGGTCTTCTTTTTCTTATATTAGGAGATCTCAGGAATTAAATGTGCAGTTAAAATTCTTTACAGCGACAGAAAAGGGGGTTTCACTGGCCAGGCCCACGATTTAAATGAGTTTGACGTCTCTATGCAGCTCAAGATTTTGGCCACACTGTGCATGCGTCGTGGCCTGGTTAAAGCCAGATGTCTATGACTGTATCAGTTTTACTGTCATTTCAATGATATATCAGTAAGGTAGCTCAGAAAAGAAAGGGTGGTAGTTTTTTCAGCATCTCTTGCTTCATCATTCCTGTGTGAGGTCAGGAGTCTGTAAGAATATTGTGGCTCTGCGGCTATTTACCAAAACACACATAAGAGCTGTGACATAAATCAGCTTTGGAAAATGTAAAGGATAGAAAAAAAATTTAAAAAAAGATTTTTAATCAAAAATAGAGTGACATTCATTGTGCAGATCCTTGTCTCTCCATTTTTTTGACATCATAAAATTTGTTTTAAAGTCTCTTTGCGTTCCTGAGAAATTCGATGAATTAAAAAACCCTCTTAGTTTTCTTGCAGTGTTTCAATCTGAGAAAGAAAACAGGTGTAAATATTTTTAGACAGTTCACACTGTTCTGCATAAGACAACAAATGAACAGACATAAACCCGGCTTCTCATCCACAACTTTGTCTCTGCGTGTTGGGGTGAAATAGTTTAAATGGATGCTTCTTCTGCCACCCGAAGCGTCTTGATTTTGATCATCGCAGCGTGCTGCCATGTATCAAGCGTAATTTTCTTCTCTTACTAATTTTTGCACAGTGCATCTTACATGAAAAGTCGCACGGTCCTCCTCAGTTAACAGAACAGAGCAACATTTATGTTTATTTCGAGGGTTCTCTTGCAAACGCTGCCTGCTTACCTCTGCTCTTTGATTACATTTAAACACAGTAATTACAACAACAGGTCACAGGCCATTTTAACTTCACACTGAACTTTAAATACTCGAAGTGCGCTTTCTGATTTCACTGGAACATTTTAAAAGGTTATATTTATTTTTGTGCAAATAGCCATGTACATGCTTTTCTTATCTAAGTGCAAGGACACATTAGATGTACTTCATGAACTTTTGGATGTTTAAGTAAAGGATTTAAAAATATTTTCTGACCTTTTCTACCTACCTTCTCGTCTGCTTTAATGGCCACTATACAGGTGGATCTTGGCGAACGAGACAGTCTCAAAATACTGATTGTGGCCTTTCTCGTAGATGACAAAGATGTACTTGCGGTCCTCTGCAGAACCGCTGTCCAGTGAAGTGATGCAGGAGTAGCCGCTCGGTCCCGCCCATATCTGGACAGCTTTGTTCTCCCAAGATTTGCCGTTTGTCAGCGACCATTTCAAGGTTAGGTTCACTCCTGAGGGAGATTATGAGGTTATTTACTCGATCACCCAACTTTATAACATAAATCTTAGAGAGTTTTCAGTTCAATTAAAAAAAGCATTAAGGGAATCCTCGATCATCGTATATCAATCTCTCCACTCAGAGAGCATAAACCATCGTGAATCTATTTCGGCTGCTTTGGTGCAAATTAAAGTGACAACATGAGAGGCAACGAGGAGACAAACTACCAAAAAAGGGAGTACTTTTGCAAAGACCATTGCTCTCGCCTTATCCATCCTTTCTGATTTTTCTGTAGTGTTGCTCTGTGTTAGTGTCCTTCTCACTATTGGTACTCTGGTTGCACAGATAGTTCAGTGACACATCCATATGTGCCACAAGAAGGTTTGCTGTGCCACCCAGTACAGTCTCGAGTGTGGAGGAGATACCAGGAGACAGGGGAGGTTACATGAGGAGCTAGGCAGGGACGTAGTCTCTGCTCCTTTGTGCAACTGCCAGAGCACTACAAAATGAGTCTACTGACATTCTTCAAGATTGTGCTCCATTAGTGTTTTTGAACAGTGTATGTTCACTGGCAGAGGACTTATCCTCATTATCGGCTCCATATTTTGATTATTAAACTCTGGAAGAGATTTACTCATCAAAACAATCGTTCTTTATTTTATTTGGGCCTTTGTGCAGCCCTTCAGTTCATCTACTATTAGAAACAAGACATTTTACCTCCCTTTCTGTCCTTTGAGCTAACTTGAGCTAACTGCTATCTTTGACATCATACAGAGACAAGAGTATAAAAAACTGTGTGAAAGCTGAACATTTTGTATGAGGAGAGATCAGTGTAACTATATCTTTACTTAAAATAAACAAAAGTACTGCATACAAAACTAGAAACTGTGCTTCTACAGAATTAAAGTGCTTTGTTTACTAGAGTTTAGCGCTTCTCACTCTTTTCCTCGTTGCAGGGGTTGGTGAAGTAGATCACGCCCTCTTTTTGCAGAGTTCCAGCTGCCACTACAGGATCCACCAGTGCCTCGTCAAAGATCAGGCCCTCCAAGGGCAGGGTCAACCCTCCATCATAGCTGTGCACCACAATGCGACACTGACAGTGGTATCTGTTCTGGTTCCGCACGTTGATGGCGATGGTGCCGTCAGTCAACTCAATCGGCTGGAGAAGAAGAGACGGGTTAGAAAAGACTAAAACCGAAACGAGTAAAAAGAAGCTGTTAATGCTTGTGTGTGTCACTGCACAGACCTAGCTTTAGTGATATCACATTTTATGAACTTCTCTTTTACTATGATGCCAGTTCATAGAATCTACAGAAGGAACTGAAACTGGCAAAGCAGGTAACTATGTGGAAGTTTCATCCAGTTTTATAGGAATGTGAAAATACTGCTTTGGTAAATGTGATTTCTCTTAAAGTCACACTGAAATCAATTTAAAACTTAACCTTTTTTTATTCTTTATATGTTCTTTTACATCATCATAGTGTTTACTTGTTTGTGCTGTGTGGTAGCTGTGTGTCTGTTGGATCATTGTCAAAAAAAGACATTTTTAATCCCAGTGACACATTTTCCTGGATACCTCTTACCTGGCACTCATCAGGGTTAAAGTCTTGTGGTTTCTTCTTGTGGTTGTAGGGGATACTTTTCAGCGCCGCACCGTTGTACCAGGTTTCCCCGTGGTCGTCACTCAGGATGCAGAAAACACCGTCGCCGTTCAGCGTCCCGTGACCGCAAACCACCAACCTCCCCTTTGCGGGATTGAAGCGTTTCTGTAGTCCAAAGCAGACAAAACAGGAAGAAAGATGGTGATCAGAGTCAGCATCGTGACCTCTGTTATAATTCTTATCAGTGCATAGTATTACATCTGAGTAGATCACTAAACACCTAAAGGTTTCTATTTAAAAAGCAAACCTTTTGGGTTTACCGAGGCTTTAAACTGAAAAGTAATGACTGAATGAATCTGGGGGTTTTTGTTATGCATGTTGTTGTTTTTGTGCTCTCCTGCAACCTCAAGTATTGGTTCCTTGTTTAGGTTCTCGTTTCAGTTTTTAAGTCTTTTTTTATTATGCTTTAACTGTGAAAATTGTTTAAAGTCATCAAAATCTATTCCAAATCTATCTGCTTTAGAGATACAGGTCACTTACATTTTAAGTAGAGCAAAAAAGCAGTAAACCAAGAAGTAGATTTTTTTTTATTCCCTCTGAATTAGAGCAATAAAAACACTCGAGTTCAAACTGGGCGCTGGTACAGCAGGTAAACCATATGCGATAAGGTTATTCCTTAGGCCCAGGTTTGAATTTTTCCCATAGCTTTCCTGGTTTCTTTCTTCTGTCCTTTCTAGAATAAAAACTAACAAGCCACAAACTATATCTTAAAACGTATAAACGCCAAATATAGTTGTTGTTTTTTTACATTAACAGCAGTAACACCTGTTGATCACCTGTGAACTATTAAATCTTTACCAGAAAAGTTTTTTTTTTTTAAAGAAAAAATATTAGTTTGCATATATGAGTTTAAATTTGCATCATTCTTGTCATGGCTAACCGTGTGGGGAAATAAATGAGGACCCAAGAGCAGGCACTCGCTGAGATACGAAGGAGGTTTATTGCAAAATAAAACACAAGGAGAGAATGGCAAAACGGAACAAAAGATAATCTAAACTGGGAGGAATAAACTTTACACAGACGTAAAGCTGAAAACACTCATATGAGACAGAGACCTTCAGAATAAAACAGGAAACTCACACATTCGAAGACACAGACCAAGAAACATGGACTTTACACAGAGGGAACACACGGGCAGAGAAAACTAAACACAGAACAGAGGGGGCACAGAGAAACATGAGGGGCAAGGGATCAAAACCTAGGGACCATGGAAATAAATCACTAATGAACTCGACATAATACAAAAATCTCAGAGAACTGAAAACGCTGGGTCAAAATGAACCAGAACCGTGACAATTCTTGCAACATCAGGCATTTTTGTGTAACTGATTCTGCATTTTTAGGAAAAACTAATCTGTCTATGACAATGTTGAGGTCACAGAAACTGAGAATAGCTTGTATGGAATATGATACACGTGGCATCACGAGGTCAGGCGTGCTCATGGTCGGTGAGTTTCAGCTTGTGACGCCGAGGCTGAATACATGTCGGCACTTTTACATGGTGGATCATTTGACCTCAACAAGAAAAGACGAACAACGCGCCTGAGAGAGGCTGTGATATGGCATCAAAAACAAAACCAGGCAGCTCAGTTTATAACACTAAGTTCATTTTAATGAACTGGTTCTCCATGAGGGATTTAAACCCTGTTGTGCCAAACTGTTGCACTTTCAGGTGCTATACTGACCATTTTCTGTCTGAGCTTGAAGCTATGAGGATCTCCACTCTCACTTCTTTAATTTGGACAGGATAAAAAAAAGAGACAGGAATCGAGAACCAGCTCCAAACTGTTCCATCACTTAACCTCCAGGCTCATCAGTTCCTTTTGTTAAAGCTAGCTGCTAAATTCACAGCAATGCAGCCTTTTGCACACATGAAAGTGTTTCTACACAGAGATAATAAAGCAGTGCAGGACAGCTCTCCGTCCACACAGAAAACTGACCAAGATTAACGATCTGATCCATCAGCAGATTCAATAAGGGCCTTGGTGCTTCTAATGCACAAAAAACACTCTTTTCACTGACAATAAAAGATTCATACTGCCAAACCAGTGCACTAAGTTTGCACACACGTGCAAAATTATGCATAATTACAGAGGTGGAAAGCCACGCAGTAAAATCTTACTTTATGACTTTCATGGGAATACTGAGCTGTCAGGATTCACATGATCTAAATAAAAATGAATCCGGCTTAAAGGTCATTGAAATCATTTTACATCTTGAGAAGTTCACTCACTTCACTGTCACATGACTCTCTCTCACCTGGAGGCCGAGACCCGGCCCGGGAATGAAGTTCTTCACCCCGAGCGTAACCGAGAGGTTTCTGGGCGGGGTCCAGCTGAGGCCGTCGTCCCGGCTCTCCACCATCATGATGCTGGGTGGGCTGCAGTGGTCGAGGTAGAAGCACACGTCGTAGATCAGAATCACTGAGCCCACTTCCTCGTCCACCACAACAGAGCCTAAGTTCAGGCCGTCCGGCTTCATCCCGTCATCGACGATGAAGCTGGTCGGGGACCAGGTGGCTCCTGGAAGATGATAAATTGTTCAATTTGACATTTTATGATTTAACTTTCTACTCACGGAACAGTTGTGTTATAACTCTGAATTTTTTTTGTCTATATTTTCCACTAATTTTGTGCATTTTCTCCTTTTAAAACCAAGATTTCAGTTTTATGTTTGGGGCTCAATCACGAGAATTTATGCAATCAAGCTGTTGTATTGCTGTTTTTTTTCTACAAACCAGGGCTAAAACTGTGACATGTGTGACATAATTTTGAAAATATTTGTAAAACCAAATATCTGCTGCAAAAACTGACTGATGCTAATGATAATGGCACATGTCTCTTAACTGAACTGGTCTCCACAGAGAGGGCAAACATCAGAGACAGGTGTGTGAGTCTCTGCATCGCGCTGTTAGTTTTTGAGACTTCTACATCATCAGCGTGATTTTTCCCCCAGAAAAAAACCCTAAACAATTTGCACAAACGTTACAGATGTAGCAAAAATGATGCAAAAGTGTTTTAACACCTTTATCTGTTTATTTATTTATTATTTTTTGCATTTGGCTTTGACGTCTGCCTTTCTTCCCAGCGCTTCCACTTCCCAGTCTTGTTTAAAAGTGAAGTTTTGCATGTTTTGACCCTCTGTGTTGCTCTGACTTGTGATCAAATGCACGTATACAGGCTGTTAGTTTGACTCAGCTGAGTCTTGCCTTTGTCTGTGGAGCGCCGCATTGCAATGAACTTCGCTCCACGGTCAGCAAAAGAAGTCTTCCTGGCTTCTGCAAACGCCAGCAGGCTTCCTTTGGGGGTGAAGGTGAGCAGCGGGATCCTGTAGGTATTCACCTGGCCCTGGGACCCACTCACCCACAGGAGCTGCTCCTCAAACACCAGGGGATCAATCTGAACAGCAGGGAGGAGGGCAGATAAAAAGAGTCAGGGATGACTGAGAAGTACCTACAGGCAAAACCAGTTTGGCCAAGAGCATCTTCAGCATACTTTAGGTGTCATGTAACACACAAACATGTGATCGTGCTTCGAGTTTTGGAAATTATTTTATTTTATTCAACTGCAACATTTACCTAAAAATAATTTATACCTTAGAAATCCCCAAATCATGCAAGTTCTAGAGAAAAAGAAACAAAAAGCCTAACATTTAACCTTTAATGAATCGATTTCACTCTAACCAACCTTAGCTAACACGTCACCAGCTCCACCGCACACACTGCAGGGCTTCAGCATGCTGCTATAACCCGGTAATAAGCAGGTAATAACAGGCACTGTACCTGGGAAGGGTTGACGGTGAGGACACACGAAGGCGCCAAAGCAGAGAGTAGTAACCACAGTGCAGAGAGCCGCCATGCTGCCATGTTTGACTTCCTTCTCAGATTTCTTCTTCTTCAGAACAGAAACACACAGCAAAGATCGCGCGAAAGCCTCTCTTTTATCTTGCCTTACTTCTTTAACCAACACATCTTCCCAATAAGTCATATGACAAAGACGGTCACATGACTAAAGCACCTATCAAAATAAAACAGGAAACTTTACTTGATTTAATTTTTAATCCTGACGACTGATTATAGAATATCGTTATTTACATTACATAAGCAAATAATGCAGTTACTTTTAGCATGTCTTTTTAAAAAAAAAAGTAATACGTATTCAAGGTTGTATTGTGCATGTTGTACAGTTTTATACATCCTTGCACATCCTTCCTTAATAATTAAAGGAAGAGTTTCATAGTTAAACTAATATTATAGATGTTTTACAGAGAAGCTTCTACACACCAATTATTCGTGTATATTTATATACTATACCTACGGTGGCTGGGAAGTGCAAATCACATGTACAACATCAACAAAAAAAATAACATTTCCGAAAGCACTTTTACATAAAAAAAACAAAAAACAAATAAAAGAACTGACAACAAACTAACATTTAGGAAAACACTTTAACAAGTCCGCAACAAATTAACAAGTGGCTCTTGACGGAAATGGATTGTCTGAAATACCCCCAAGAGCGAGAGCTCCACAGTGGCTGCAGCCAGACCCTTCTCCAAATACCGGAAGTGACTCAACGATTAGGCTTACTACATTATTTGTAGTACAGAAAAGTGATTTGTAGTCAGCTAAACAAGGGCTTTTCAGAGAAGTAGTGTTCAGTTAATGTTTGAAGAGATTTTACAAAAGAGTATGGGTGAGATAATGAAGTTCAGATTTTTAAATGCCACGGGGATTTTCTTAAGAAAATATCCAGGCCTTAAAACCGTCATGGTCCACACTCCAGCCCAGCAGGTGGCAGTAAAGCGCCTTTAAATTAGCGGCAGAAGAAGAAGCAGCAGCTAAACACGGGATTTCAACAAACGGACTTGTTGCGGACTTGTTAATTTGTTGCGGACTTATTAAAGTGTTTTCTTAAATGTTATTTTGTTGTCATTTTTTGTTTTTGTTTTTTACGTAAAAGTGTTTTTGGAAATGTTATTTTGTTGTTGATGTTGTAAATGTGATTTGCACTTCCCAGCCACCTTTCTATATATTAAACATATTTTTGTTTGTTTGTTTTTATTTTTGGAATAAATGTCATTGGTGTGTAAATTTTGAGCATGTTATTCTAATTTTCTTCAATTTCAGACGTCCATTCAAAAGATAAGAACATGGAAAAGGTTTCATGCACTTACAAATTTTTATACACATGGGGGCAGAAACAGCACGGACGCCTTTTGCAGATTACACACACACACACACACACACACACACACACACACACACACACACACACACACACACACGACCAAAAAACAAAACAAAAGCAAAGTTAGAGCAGAAAATGATTTTTGTGCTATTTACTGAAGCTCCAAACCTCAACTCAACTTAGTAGGAAGCTGCATGCAGAAATCCAGTTTTCAGTGAAAAAAGTTTAAACTTTAAACCTTTACAGTGAGAAAGGACTCTTATTGGTGCAATATAACCTTTTCTTGAAAAGATACAAAACATTTTCAAAAACTGTGTGTGCCTAGAGGTGTTTTTCAGTAGGAGGGGAGGAGGGAAATCTGGTGGTTAAGATATAAATCAGTAAACTAGCATACTCACTTAAGTGTCAGTGCACATTATACATCTCTCTTTATATTCTATCATATTCTGAAGCAGAGCAGCTGCTGATTGCACTTTTAATTATTAAAACTGCCAAAAACATGAATGCCATGACACTCCTGTGTGGATGTGGAAGGTGCTGTTTGTCTTTTAAGGGAGCTGGTGCCACATTTAAAGGTAAAATGTGAAAAAATTACTAATACACAGGGTGCTGTGGCTGTAGATGTCTGATTTATTGTCTAAATTTTTATGTCTTTTGGGACTGTGTTAAGATCTGACCTTTCTCTGTTCTGTGTGATTTAGCACGTCTTGGTCTGGGGATATTATATTTAGATCTTCACACGTGTGAATCCATATTGACCCGCAGTGGCGTCCTTGGACCTTATGAGTTAATGTGTAACAGTCGTTCTGAAGTTTTAGCTTCTTGCAAGAGAAAACTAACTTTAAATAGTCATAAAACTGGATAAAACTTTGTGTTATTCTGTGACACAAATATATATATATAACTACGGATGCTGGATGCCTGTGCTGGCATTTCTCCTGCGGTGTTGCTATCAGTGTGTGAAGAGTGGGAGAAGAGGGTTGCATTGACAATCCAACACAATGAGCAGCACATTGAACACATTTTATAAGTGGTCAGAAACGTGTAAATAACTCATGAAAGAATAAAGTTATGTTGAAACCAAGCACACCATTGTTTTTCTTGTGACATTACCAATAAGTTTGATGTGTCACATGGCCCTCTTCCAAACAAAAGTTGTATCCAAGATGGCCGACTTCAAAATGGCCACTATGGTCACCACCCATCCTGAGGAGTTTGCCTCCTCACATATACTAATGTTTCACAAACAGGACTTTAATATCACCAACCATTCCCATTTTATTATAGTGTATCCACCCTGTATATATAAATATATATATATATATATATATCAAAATGAAGCTAGTTTTTCTCAACAGCTCCCTGCATGAAGGCCATGAGCCTCTTTCTAATGCTGACATGTTGAGCTGAACACCACACAAACCACATTCCTGCAGTCATGAGTTTGGGCTGAGCTCAGTCACAAGAGAGAGAAACAGAGCGAGAGAGAGAAAGAGAGAGAGAGAGAGAGAGAGAGAGAGAGGGAGGCTGAGACACATTCGTGTGATAGAGGCATACGCTTCAATTCTGTGTGTGTCTGTAGGACCATCATGTGGTAATTCTCTCGATTAACAGGAGTTATGGTAGGAAGGACAAAGGGAATACAAAGATGACAGCTTTGGTGAACTGATGGAGTTTCATCTGAAGTTCAGGTAGGACATGTTTAGTCTTGCTTTGGAGCTCTCACGTGTACAGGTGTCAGGAGAAACAAAACAACTTACAGAGGAACTTTTGCGCACAAAAAAAATGCGTAGGAGCAAAAATATTCAACCATTGTCATCGTCGAGGCTTCAGTTTAACGTCAGGTTAAGGATACACTGTTTAGTTTACGAGCAGGCAAAAAGGATGTGCAGTTTGCAACACCGGACATGAAAACATGATGCATTGTAAAGATAACAGCTGGGTGTTTACTGATAAAGCCCTCTGGGTGGTAAAAACATGCAGCGAGTGCAAGATACAGCCTGCCTGCACATGTGTGAAATGTGTCATTCTTTTTCTTCCCCATCCTCATCTGCAGGTGCAGTGTAAGCAGGCAGTGATAAACTGTCTCCATGCCAGTACTGGCATTGTTAATAAGGTCTAACGTTAGACCTTATTAACAATCAAGGAAGTGAAAATGAAAGTAAATAAAGTCAGAATGAGAGCAGTGAGGAAGAGGTTAGACTTCAATAGGTTAGACACCGACAGTTTAAATTTCACACTTAACTGCTAAACTTTGTTTCCAACAACAGCCAGAGAGAGCTGGTTAAAAAACATTTAAGTTCATTACTTTTCTTTTATTTGACGGTCAGTTTTGGTGTTGGAGAGGGATCTGGTTCAGGTGTAGTGTCCACAAGAAACCTGTGTCTCCTCTTCTTTTATGAGACAGCTTCTCTGCTATGGCATTTTTGCACATTTGTGTGCAACGAACGAGTTTTATTTTGGTAAAACTCCAAAATAATCACAACAATGTAATTTCTCAACAGTTCAGCCCATTTGTTCTGCCTCCATAAGCAGATATTGTATCAGTATTGCACAGTAGTAACGGCCCACATCCCCGAAAGCAGAAGTTAAAGTTTCCTGCAAGGTTGCAGACTTCTCACAGTTAACCGTAAATGTGTTTATTAGCGATAAAGGCCTCTTTAAGGTTTTTTTTTTGTCCCCGTTATCGTTATGGCTGTGGTTTCTTTAACATATTTAGCTTTTAGCTTTAGCTTTTTAAATTACTGGTCACAGATCGACTTTGGGTTTAGTTTCTTTTAGTTTACTTACAGAATAATGCAGTTTAGGGGAAACATGAGCTATACATGTGCACCTAAAGCTCTCATAGAGTTTATTCAAGTGGTGCAAAGATGTAGGGATCCATGGACTGCTGAAATGAACATGAAATGGAATGAGAACCTTACCTTATATGCTACATAGTCACCATATAAAGGCCTCAGCCTCATGTCAGATCAGCATTTAACACCTTACTAGTACTTAGCTGGGCTCACTTTTTATCTTCAGCGCTGCCATTCTGGATTCTGTGAACTGGTCCATTATCCAACCATTAAGTGATGGATACACTGTGACTGTTAAAAGGATGGATATGGTCAGCAACAATAGTCTGGTAGGCTGTGGTGTTTAAACTGTGCTCACTTAGTACTAAGGGGCAAAGTGTTTAAAAAGAAATGACACATCCACCACGCATCCTTGATGCGAGATTGGATGGCTCCACGCTTTTTATACCAAATTTAGATCCTACTATCTGAATGTGGCAGCAGAAATCGAGATTCATCAGACCAGGAAATATTGTCCAGTCTTTTTACATCCAATGCTGGGAAACCTGTGAACAATGTAGCCTCGGTTTCCTGTTCTTAACTGACAGGACAGGTATTCTGCTGCTGTAGTCCATCTGCTTCAAGGTTTGACGTGTTACATTTTCAAATGCTCTTACCTGTTATACCCACTGGTGATTTGAATTACTGTTGCCATTCTCCTCTGACCTCTGACATCAACAAGGCATTTTCACCACCAGAAGTACTGCTCACTGGATTTTTTCCCTATTTTTCAGACCATGTTTATGTACCTAAATGCATAAAGGCGCTGTCATCTGATTGGCTTATTACACTTTTGTGTTAATGAACAGTTGAACAGGTGTATCTAACAGAGTGGCTGGCATATAGAGACTAATATACATGCTTTTCTCTGTGTTGAAGGACTGTGTGCTGCATTTGTAACATTTGACTGATGTAACTGATCATCAAGGTGATGTAAGAGTAAAAAAGTTCAAACATGCATCTAATATACAACATGCATAAAACCA